TTATGCAATAGTAGTGGAGCGTATAAATTATTTCTAACATTTGCAATGTCCGTACGCGCGTTCAGTTGGCGCGCCAAAGTTCACGTTGGTGGGAACCTCGCGCAAGAGGTTATTTATTAACGTGTACACACCGCAATTACTAACGACGGTAAGGGGACGCCGTTTCCGGTGGTTCGGGCACTTCGTTTGTTTAACACTGGCGCTGTCAGGGGTCTCGGTTTCCGTGCTAATTGAGACCTGGAACCTGAACGAACGGGATTTGTTTCTAGCGGATTTGACGATCCAATTGGCGTCGTGGATAGTGAACCTTTCCCTTGCACCAGGGGGCGTGGGTTCGATCGACTGTTAACGATAACGTTGTGTAAAATACATACGCCCTGTCCTCAAATATATTTATTTAAGTGCTTACTTAAGTTTTGTGTTCTCTGTAGTTAGGAACATACAATGACTCACATAAAAATTAACGTTTTACAATATTACGAAGAGTTTAGAGGTCGAGATTAGCATTGGCTTAAAATGGTGCACTGCTGAATTCCAATATCTTCAGAAAATGTCAATTTATTACGAAAATTAATAAAAATAATACCTATATTAAATTTTAGAGTTTAGTCAACATCCATTTATCAATTCCTTTGATGATTTGATACGTAATATTCCAATTCAACTCTTTATGAGTAAATGATTTCATAAAAAGAGCATTAATTAAGTCAACATTTAGTATCTCTGTCATAACATTTTTTGTTTCCTCAACTTTTTCACCTTTTTATATTAAGCGTTCATCTTGTTACAATCGAATTAAGAGGCAATTTTCGTAAATAACACAATTTGATTAACTACTTTATTATTGGGCAAAAAAAGTTTGCTGATCTCAACTCTTACTCGCTTCGTAAAGCACCACCTAGGGGACAGAACAGGCACCGGTGTCTTTATGCTACAACTTTATCGGCCAGATTTATCGGTTCCTTCCTCGTATGATAACATCGCCACATAATGATGGACAATAAAGATTCCCTGTACCGCCCGATGTAAATACAAAAGACATAGCAAGTTTACGACCCGTTATACTGCTTCGTAACCAATCAAGCCTGTATCTTCCCTGCTTACCTGCGAACCGAATTGGTTGTAAACTTCGAAGGCGCTTTATTATGTCTGCGGACGATCTTAGATCAATTAATATGTACATGAAACATAAGCGTATCCAATCGGGTGTTTTGCTTAATAAACGTAGATAAGATCGTTCACGTGTCCGAACTCTCTAGACTACCTACTCTGAATTATAAACAAAAAAAACGTGTTTATACTTTTATATGCGCCCGTAAGAAGTTATTTTTCTTAAGATTAACAAAAGAAAATTAACCAAAAATTTTATCCAGTGTGCCCATACTCTTTGTTTGGGATAAAGACATTAAATGCAGGTAAATTTCAAATCAATTTCATAAAGGTTGCCTGGAAGAAATTACTTTTAGTAATAGGGCCGCCCATTGTACCTATCATTTAAACTTTAAGGTTTTGTTTGTATATTTCATTTTGGTGTGTAATAAAGAATATTTATTAATATTATTATTTCACTAACAAGGTAAATGTCAATAAGTTTTTATGATTCCCGTCGTAATATTGTCGAAGTTGGTCGAAGTTATTGCTTTGCAACCAACTTCATCACGTCGCTTTTTGGCTGTCGGTGTACGCGCACGTCGTTAAAACATTACTCACATATTTTTTTCCAGAAAAAAGTCATAAAAATGTTTCGTTTGTGCGTTCGTTTTATGCACGAACGTAGCTGAAGTACAATACGTATATTTGATTCATTCACACGCCGTTACACAATTTCACATAATAAAATGTTAACTGTAATCAAAAATAAACGCGGAAACCTACGAAAATACGTGTGCCGAAAGGTTATGGTTAAATTTATCACTTGCTGAAAACGTTATCAGCGTTAAAGACCGCTAAAGCTTCTTGTCGGTAATTTTTTTTTATTTTAAGATGGTGGCAAGCTAGCTGGCCGTTCATCTGATGATAAGTCATAACCGCCACCCATGGACTGCACTGACTGGGTTGCAGAAAGTTGGAAATCCATTCCAACTTTTAATAAAGTGGGCTACGGTTACCTCACTCACCAGAGACAACGCAGAAGTGTAACACTTCCACTTGACGTAGGTCTTCTGTGCCGTCGTGGTACTTCTCCGGACGGACTAGCTCCTTTGCTATTCCCACTGAAAATCTCATTTTCACATCCCCTCCTCTATGTCATTCTTTCTGTTTAAGGCACATGGCAGTTCCCTCAGACTAGTAGCTTTCAATTCAGTGTACTCAAGCAACTTGAATCCATATCCTGGTACTAAAGAAATTGGTAATTGCAATTAAGTCCCCCTTTACCAAAACGTCTTGTGGATTTTTATCCTAATCAATTCCTAGTTCCAGTGATTAAAAACAAATTGTTGTTCTGTCTGGTTGAATTGGAAAATATCAGTTCCTTTTAACGCTTCTATATTCTTAAGAACATTCTCTCGAAAGCACAATTTATAGCATCCCATTTGTAAATAGATAGCCGAGGCATTACCCGACAAAATGTTTCGTAATGACTCTATCTGGTGTCTATTTAAAATGTACATTAATTAATACGGTAAATTCCTTAAAGGTGTCTTTGACGCGAGTATGTATTTGGTGAAAGCATCGGAATCATGACCTATTTTATCCACAGTTGTTTTTGTGCGACCGCACTTTTCTCACAATAATATCACACAATACATTCATTAAACAGGCAAAGTTTGAATTGTGCTTTTTTTGCTTTTTATCGCTCCTCTATTTGTGGTATTCGCCTTAATAGTAAACCGATCATTCACACTTAGCTTCAGGAGTAGTGGTCAGGCACTAGCAGGTCCGCGATAAAAATGTAGGTCGCAATTTAACTGTTCCGAGTCAAGGCTAAATGCACCTTGTTTAATTAGAATTCACTACGCCATAATAGTAACGGCAGATTATTATGTGATTACCGTTTTATAAATAGGCAGTTCGCGGATCGAGTGTTGAAATAATTACAGTGTAATTATTTATCGAACTAATAAAACAGTTGAACGCTGTGGCGATACCATATTATTACGTCGTTCAATCAAATGTATTAATTATTGTAAACAGTAGTTGTTACTTATCGAAATCGTTTTATAAAAACATTAAATAACTTTGAAATATGTTTGTCTTTTAATGGACTGAAAAATTTCCCTAAGTTTCGTTAAGTTAATATTATGTTAGTTAAAAAAAGGACTTTTGTCGAAATTTTTACACTTCATTCATATGTAAAAAGATAAAAATATAATGGTGAAACTTAACAACCATTTCTAAAAAGTGACAGAATAAACTTAAACTTTACATCAGGGCAGTTAAAGGAAACAATTTGTAAAACATTTAAATAATTGAACAATTAACATATAGATAACATCATTATTATAACATACTTTAACTGAGTGTAAGCACACAGAAACGTGAACAGGTACTATTTTTGTTAGAGAAGTACAATTACCTCATGGAACTCTGGACATGTTCGTAAAAAGAAATACTAATATAGGTCCCTAACGCAAATACAACTCCACTGACGTTATGGCGCACCACATCATCATAATAACTTTAAGGGAGAAAAGTTGTACCTGAAAAGTGTCAAATGCTCTACCAATCGTGAGGCCGTAGTACTGCCCGTTCGTGCAAACCACGGCGTGGCCCTTATATTTTTAAAACCATTTCCCATAAATAAAACTTCTGAGCCAAAGTAATGAGTTACACCATTTCAACGGGCGATCTGGTTTTCCGATCTGATTTTAAAATCAAGACACAAATTCAAAATGACATAGCTTCATACTTTACTTAGACTTACAATTATTTTCGGGACATATGTGTCACTCTCGCAATTGTATGACGAATACGAGTCTTTTAATATTCCATCGGAGGCGCGTTCCATGGCATACATTTTTAATATGGAAGTACGATGCCTTCGTAAGGTTCTTATTTAACATTTATTTTTCAGAGAACAAGAGCTTTGTTTGTATTTATTCTCCTTTCTTCGCCTTTAAATCTGTATGTATTTTGCTTTCTCATTTTTCATGGATAAACTATAGACTTAACTATATGATAAAGACTATAAATGATTAAGAATATAAAGCAAATATTCTCCGAATAAATCATCACAAATATAAAGCAAAATCACTTTTCTTTTATCTCTACTTTGTGTGTGTATACTATAAGTCCATGAAATTTAAAGTTGATGTTTGTTAAAAAAGTATGTAAGTATTCCCAATTGGAGAAAATTCTTAATTCTTAATTTTATTGTATTGTGAAAGAGATTTGTATTTATGCAAGTTATAAAAACAAATTACAGTATGCATTTACATACACTATCATAAGCCGATTTACATTGTTTATGCATTGAAACCATTAACCACTAGTGTATTATCCCTTCAGATGTATAAAGAGATTACAGGGCCTGTTGTGAACTTTAGAAGTGGAAAAACATGTGCTGCACAAGCACCAAAGGCTATTTAAAATGTCGCGACATTTCTAGTGAAATGTTGAGTTAGATAATATCGAGTCGACGACGAAATACAAATTGAAACCAACCTGTCGTTTCGATATCAATTGCGGTTAAAATAATGTAATGCAAGCCTCTGAGGATTGAGGACATTTTAACAGAATACTATAACTACAACTAAGAATTATTTGTTAGGTACTAATCAGTCACTTGATATTGTTCAAACCGTTCTAGTTCGAAATGTAATATAAAGACAATTAAACTCAATTTACGTAATACGTTATCTTACATTAATTTTACCAAGTAAATGGTCAGATTCTCAAATCGATCACCGACCTAGCACTGGTGGACTAGACACTGTGAAGCAAAGTTTGAAATGGATTAATTGAACGTATGAACGTTTAACGATGTTAATCAAATATCGAGGAATAGATTCGCTGTTTTTATATGGAGTTGCAACCGAGACGGGTTTAGTGCGAACGCAATGGCCGAACAAACTGCGATACGGAACGTATTGACGTCAAATTACAATGGCCTTGTTCCAATTGTTGGTTCGTTTTATTGCTTATTTACGTTTCATAACAGCATACCAAACATAACGAAGAATACACTTATCAACAAAATTATATCAACTGACGAATGGCGTAGTCGGTAATGCCTTCTGCGCCAGAGGCTGTGGGTTCGATCCCCACTACTGGAAAAATATTGTGTAATGAGCATAGTGTTTTTCTAGTGTCTGGGTGTTTATATATGTATAATGTGTATTTATTTCCAAAAAAAAAGTATGTTTAAGTATGTCTATCAGTTTTCTAGTACCCATAGTACAAGCGTTGCTTAGTTTGGGACTAGAGAATGTTGTGTAAAAAAATTTCCTAAAATATTTATTTATTTATTTATTATTAAATGCCATTAAACCCGTGTTCCATATAAAAAAACTCTTAGGTAAACTTTCTTTATTAATGCTTATCCCGGTCCAAAGAGTATGCTGCAAATAACTTGGAGAATCAATCAAAACATTTTATTACAATATCTATACTAATAATAATAATTTATGTAAAACAAGAAATGAAGTTTTGACTATAAAATACAATAACGTTAAACTTGAACGAATTTTATTTTGTTTAAAATTGTTATATATTATATCATACACATTATATTATCTTTTTATATCATCACTTACATTTTAATTCGTATCGTTTTATTTACAAAAAAATTGTCTTGTTTCAGCGGAGGGAAGCCTGTCGGACTTTGCATTGCGCAAAGTTCACTACACGGCCTCCAATCCCCTCAAAAAGGGTCTCTTCACTCCCGATACAAGGTAAAAATCACTAATTAAATTACACTCAATATTAACGTCCTTTAACGCCAATAGGTGGATCTAAAGGCCGTCCGTGCTTTCAACCATCCTTCAGCTGAAAATTTAAATTAACGCTCAATGCTGTATTTGAAAAGTATAATGAAAACTTTGGCCACTTGGAGCAGGTGGTTCACCCAATGTTAAGTGAATACTGCCACCCATGGACATACACTACACCGAACCACTAACGCCAAAACATCCGAGGCCTGGCAGATGCGTTGACATCTTTAAAAAAGTGGGCCCCGGCTACCTCACTCACCAGACAAAACCTGAAAGTATAATACTTCCACTTCACGCCGGTCTTCTGTGAGGCAGCGGTACTTCCCGCTCGAGCTACAGCAGAAGCTGTTGGGTGGCCCTGCCACAGTAAAACGTATATAAAAAGAAACAAGAAAATAATTTAGACAACGAAATAACTCTAATAAACTATACATTTACTTAAACGCACGCATGAGCACATGCGTGGCCCTACCCACAGCGGAGGGCCTAAACCCGTGGGTTCTGGCTAGCCCACCGGTTCTGCGTCAGATGAAGCTTTAATAGTCTCAGGACTGAAAGCAAAAACATCAGTTAATACAAGATACAAGATACAAGACTATATATTTTATACGTCAGTAAACGAGTATCCAGTTTGTAATTATAATCTTGTTACTAGAGAAATAAACACAAGTTTTGTTTATTTAATCAAATTATTATTATGAATATTTATTTATTTAACAGGGTCCCGTCTTACCCTTTGGGTACGGAACCCTAAAAACGAATGAAACTACATTGACGGCTTATATCCGAAATCGTGTCAAATTTTCTCATTTTATTTTAAAGCCTTCGGAATTTTTAAATTTGAATAAAAAATGTTGATTTTATCTTTTATCTGTGGGCGCGCCATAGTCATTTTCTTCCATCAGGTTGTTCAAGTATCGAGCTAGTGTCTTCGGTTTACGACGCTAGGCCGAAAGTCAATACGGTTCCGGAAGCATTTGGATCGAAAATTGACCGATCGCGTGTTGGATACCCATTGAACGCCGAAAATATACCATCCGATCCCCGTAAAGTCTCTAAAAAATTTCATCAATCTAACGTAGATTAGCACAGAGCTAAAAAGTATATAGAACATTCGGGCATGAATAATTTGAAAATAAAAATATATATCAGGCTAAGACAGTTAAACGCATACATTAAAAAAAAATCCAACACTTGGCCTATATTTAATACGTTTCAAAAAGAATAACTAGAAATATCATATCCATTCGATACTTGTATAAGACGATGCATGTTAAAGAAAGGAACAAGCGATACAATATAGAGCAAGTCGCAAGATAGGAGCATATTGTTTCTCAAGCAAAACAAAAACGAATTACGCACATTCCAGGCCGGCGAGTTTGCGCAACCTATACGATAGGGCGACCACAGACCGCCTCTCTGCGTCCATCCTCGAGCAGTTGAGGCGCGACGCGCAATATTCGCAGTACCTGCTCTGCACTCCCGTCCTGAGCTCGAAGAGGAGACGCATCTACCAGAAGGTGGACGTCGACATCGAGACCCGAATTGTAAGTGACATTCGCTAACAATGAAAAGTATCCTTCACTGCCAACATTTGGACTACAGGTCGCATTGTTCGTAATGAGTGCAGCAAATAAGCAATTATTACATATTTATCGTCTTGTTACAATGTCTCTTAAAAACGAGACTTCTACCGAACTTACGCGTTCACCGCCGATAAAGAATTGGTAAAATAGTTTTAATCGATTTGATATTTCAAGATTCCCAATTATAAAGTTTTGGTAATCTGGTTGATTCATAAAGAAACTTACACAAATGCAAATACACTGAACAAAAGATACAATTTTGTTGATGTAATATTTATTTGGTTATGTATCTTAATATACGTAAATCATGTGGGAAAATAAGGCGAATTACATTTAACAGACGCCAACTTTTCATGCATTTATTTATAGGGAAACCGATTGCAACTACGAACTGTTTTCAATAATGGACCAAAAACAACTAATAAATGTTCATGAACTATTTTATATGCCTTCAACTTCTATTTCCAGCCGTCCGTTGTGGAACACTTGCGAAAATGGACGTCGAAGGAAGCGGTCGGCGACATTACGGCAAACCCAGACGCTTCGATGCGTATCGTGAGCAGTGTCACGCTAACACCAGATGAACTCTCAGAATGCGGCTCTGGGGATGACGAGCCGATAGACCACAGGCTGCCTAGTCCAGAGGAACAGCTTAGAGTGATCGCTTCTAAGTAATTTATTTTTACTTCTAAGTATGACGAGGTTCTTAACAGGCTACCATCACTTTATTTTCCATATCCCCCGCCTTCTCTTTATGTTAAAAACTTTAGAGCAATTTGCCTGTGTCAGTTTTCTATCTATGGGAAATCAAGTAAACTGGCTTCTACTGAACCAGTTCATTACTCTTGGAAGTCTATAACGCTTCATCGAACGATACAATCGACTGAAAAAAATACGATTCCAACAGGCTTTGCTTAAACCGAAGATGCATCTAAAATATTTTTTTTATTTGTGTATCATACAATGTATGAGCAATTATCATTTAACATATAAGCATACAGCGTATATGTTTAGTTATTCTTTACTTAATTAGAATTTTCACTTGTAATCCGTAGTTTAACTTATAGTTAATCCCATATCTTAATATATATATAAATTACGTGTCGTTTAGTTTGTCCGCGTTGGACTCCTAAACTCGATCAAACTGTACGCACCGTGTGCAGTTTGATCGAACTTGAAAGATAGGATAGCTTACATCTCAATTTGTAGTCGCAATATTATTTTATTGCAAATTATTTGTATATTAGATGACAAAAAGTTATAGTTATCTGTGAGTTCCATAAGATTTTGTGCGACCCACAGATGATTATTGTACTGTATCTGGCCTTTTGTTTCCAAGGTTTTACACGACCGGCCGCCTGTTTAATGTTTACCCTACATTAAACATGCGGCCGGTCGTAAAAAACCTAGCCAATACCACTGATGACGACAATAACCCCTAAAAGATCTATAAAAATCCATTTGTGCCTTCCACAGGTTCCCTCCGCAACTCGTAGCCATAGACACGTCGGGCAAATTCTTCGATAGAATGTGCACATCCCGTAAATCTCTACACATAGAGAACGGCGGCGGAGAGACCGATACGGTGAAGCGACGCACACGAACGAGAAAACCACGGGGTAAAAGACGAAACACCATATCCGGCACTGATCAGAAAGAGCTTAGAGAGGCTATAGCTGGGTAAGCTTCTAGTTTGCACTGTACACATGAGGTTACGTTATACGTTGAACTTATTCGATTGATATGAACTAGCGATTCCAATAACGTTACCTCGATGTCTCAATTAACTACTATAACCAATAAAGCACAGTACCGTTTGAGCCTAAAAACGCTCAGTTAAATTTCTTCAGCACATTTAACAAATTGAATAATATACTCGTGCTTCTGTGAATACATTATTTCTGTAACTGGTTGTCGTTGTTCATTAACGTGATGTTTTTAACAATGAATAATAGAAACAAAGACAATCATTCTTGCACTTCGTACACTAATAGTGTCATTTGTTCATTAGCTTTTATGATTAATGACGCCTTTGAAAGTATCCGCTGTTACGAGACGAGGCGGCTTCTTTTAAAGGCAACCCTTTAGATCTGCCTTAGCGTGTGACTAATGCTTTGCTTGGTTTGTTTTATCGTAGTGATACGACAAATGCTGTGGCTTCTGAAGAGACTGAAGAAAACAACACTGTCATCAGATCACGATCTAGCGATCTTCTGAAGAAGAGTCCCATTGACCCAATAACGAAGAAAGGGCATTTTAATAGTCTCAAACAATGGGGCAAAAGCAGACTTAAACTTATCGGCAGATCACCGAGCGCCAGCAGGGATAGTTTCAAAGATTCCTCAAAATTAGAGAAAAGCAGTGATTCGAAATCGCCACAGAGAGCTGAGGAAAGTCAGGTACAGGAAACGGTTACGATGAGAAAGAAACGACAAGGTGACGAGGAAAGAAGGACCCATCAAAGATGTGCCTCATACTCTTCTTCTGAGAAGAGCATAGGAGTGCCGGCCAGCGTTCAGACCACGGCAACCATCAATAGTGGAGTTAAACTTCGAGGTACATCGACGCAACGCAGGTTGAGGCGAACTGGAGCCGCGAAAGATGAACCGCATTCTTCCAGCGGCAACTGGTCGGCCAGTTCTGAATCTGGGCGAACAAGCATCGGATCGGAAATAACGTCAACCACTGTGCCACCTAAAAGTACGACTTCTGCAGCAACGTCTAATAACTCTCTTAACGTACATCACGGACCTCCTAGCTCCATCATAAGCAGGAGGAGATTCCCTAACAATTCCGGCTCCGGTAGCGTAACCAGTGAAGGCACCCTGACTCCGGATATAATACACGACTTACATGAGGATTTGGAAACGAGCTCCGAGTTCTCCTGTGACACTGAAGGCTATTACACGTCGTTCCATATGGATTCGGGATTGAAAACTTTGAAAGAGGAAGAAGTTTCACCGTGTACCCCCTTACACACTAGTACTGCTCTATCGAGTTCATCAAACAGTCAGAATTTGACTGCAGAGAATGAATATGAGTTGTTCGGCAAGGGGTCGACAAGCACAACCACTAGCTCAGCAGGTACTGTTTGCACGACCCTAATGGCAGCTGGTAGCGATCGATCACTAGTAATAGGACCCACCGTGCCTGAAAGAAAGAGTTCATTAACTAAAATGAATAGAAGCAGAGGAAACAACATTAACAGCGCAAACGCTAGCCTGGATAGAAGTGCAAACTCATCATTCACCAAGTCCGCATTCAGCAGTTTAAGATACAATCCCATGAGACCATATATGGATAATCAAGTGAACAACCATTCCTCGCCTGAAATAAGAACTTTACCGAACTCTACAATCACCATCACAAGAAACGTCGGTAATCAGAGGAACATAACAGCTGTCGCTGAAATTCATACGGAGACTGATCTTGAAAGTGCAAAGAAAAGTACCGGTACAAGCTCTCCGGATTCCGGCCATAATACATCTAGTTCCCCAATCGAAGATTCAGTGTCGAGTGCTCATGGTAAAAATAGTCTTTCAGAACAAGATTATTCTGAATCGTCGGATCTCGAAGGCACTGATAGAATAGAAAGGATACGTTACAAAACAACCATAAACAGTTCCAGAATTCCTTCTATGTGTGTCATTACTCCGAGCAATTCCGACGATGAAAGCGAAAATAGTAAAGATTCGGAATCGAATAAAAAGCAAGCTTCAGATAAATCTGCTGAAAGTATAGCAAAGTCTGGAAGTCGACCGAAACTCGATTTGCCAACAGACGATAAAACTAAGGAGTGTAAAAATAATGTTGAAACGGCAAAGGTTGCTAATAAACCTCAGAACTCGACCAAAACCTCCAGACAACCGTTTAATAATCTTATGTGCAAGTTGAAAGGGGTCCTTCCTAATAAACTATCGAATAAGAAATCACCTGTAGCCAAAGAAGTTGAAAATTTCTATGATTCCGGTGACTACGTTACTATAGCTGACGTAAAAAATAATAATCAGAAAATGAGTATAAACGGGGCCGCTTACGGAAATAATGACATAGTCAGAAAGAATTTACAAACCGTATTGTCAGGAAAACTTCCTGAAACAGAATATGTATCGCTAAACGAACTACCAAACTGTTTAAATGAAAGCAAAGATTTCGACACCGGTTTTGAAGAAAAACCACAACAAAACACTGCACTGGAAGAGATTCAAAGAAAAGGAGCAAAAGTAACGCTGGACTCACACGGGCAAGTTATTTATTCGTCAGACACCTTGAAAAGGAGAAAAGGCGCGCACACGACATTTGAACCAGGTCCTTTCGTCCAGGAAATTTGTCCGACAACATTGACTATACAAAGAGAGAACGCTGACGTTGTACAAATAACTGACGAGACTGATTTCCCCTATGAACCTCCCCCCCCATCAAGCAAGCCCACGTCCCCGCAATTAGGAAAAATGATAATAAAGGCACCAATAGATCGTCACGGTCCGGTCACTACGGAATTCGTTGCTTTACCAACACCAAAACCGAGCACAATAATAACTGCCACCCCTATCACTGAAACTGGCAACGTTATCGAACCGCAGACTATTACAGTAACCAAAAATAATCAAGATCTACCGCGAGTGGTAGAAGCTATAACTAGAACTGGGGCTTATGTAAATATTCACGATGCGGAAGGTGTCAGCTTGTCTCCGACGAAAGATGATAAAGCAGGTAAGAATCTAATTTGCTCAAAATCCAATTCTAAATCTATAGAAGAACCTAATTCAGACAATACAAATTTGCATTCCAATGAAGACATAGTACCTTTTGTTCCCAACTTTCAAACCCCCAGTATACTGAAAAGTAAATATTCCCAAGAACATAACAAATTAGGTAGCAATAAAGTGGCTGAAGTTATGAGAATGTTTACAGGTAGAAATTCGAATGATGTTAATGGAGATGCAGTGGATTCTAGTAACGAAGTTTCCAATAAATCTCAAACAAATAAGGTTAAGCGTAGTGATAGTTATAAACTGGCGAATTCACCACTTATGCCAATAAGGAAGCTTCTTAAACTAGATAGCTTTGGCCACGGCACGAAAAAAGTGAACTCCCTAGAAATGATCCAAGCAGAAATTGCTGCCGATCTTCTGCGCGAACAAATCAACTACCCACCAACTGTATCTCCAAAACTTAGTCAGAAAAGTGTCTTTGAGGAATTGAATAAATGTGAATGCATAAAAGGAGATGATTTTTTTACAAATGGTAAATTCGAATCTCAATTAGCTGCTTTGACATTGAGCCCTATGGCTACACCTTTGCCTAAAAGACAATCTATTGCATTCGACCCTGATGCGGGTGACACTGCCATGGATATGTTAACGGCCATTTTGGATTCCGACCCTGACAACATTTGTATTCTCCACTCTCCTCCTCCCTTCGCCTTAGCCAATAGCAAAGTAACCGTCCCTATAGATGGTCCAATGCACAGAGCTCGTATTTTATCAATTTCCGAATCTGATTACGGCACTGAAATTTGGTAATCAAATAAACTTTTAATGTATTTTAGCATTTCATGTGAAATATTCTTGCCTTCTGTTACCTAAAAATTGTACCTTTTCGCAAGTCTAATACGCTTATTATATTACGTAGGTGAATTATTAAATTGTCAAATATTTAGATTGAAATATTTTATTTTACAACTGTACTTAGTGATTGTTACGTTATAGTTATTTCGAAAGAGTATATCCGTCCAATATGAATATGAACTTATTAAGCGTCTTCCTTCTCTCTCATTTAGCTTTTTTCTGTGATAATAATCATTGCATTTCTAAAGTGTGTGTTTACATTGATGACTTAGATTTTTTATTACGCATAGTTGATTTGCCGTTAATTGCCCCTAAAATAGTGTCAGTGTTATTAAATATTTGTTTTATGTTTGTGAAATTAAATAATGCATGGTGGCTTCTTTCACCGCAGTGTGCACAGCTTACGACCGGTTCACATTCTTTGTATGTACGTGCATGGTGTGATACTCTGTTTGTCCATTTGTGTTTTGTAAATAATTATATTATAGATTTATTGTGAATTTACTGCACTTATTTCATTTGTTCTCACTCCTTGAACTGTCACCCTCACCTCACATTGCACCTAGCTTTAAAACAAACGAACAGTACTGTTATAAAGATATTATTTATAATTACAAAAATACTGATTATATAGTAAAAATATTACGACACTAAAGATTTATAACAGAACTTGTTCAGGGTCAGAATTAAATCACGAATAAAACAATAATCCATTACACCTTGCGAATTTGTACATAAAAGTATTACACCAATTCAATTAGAAATTAACCATGAAATATGATTTTCATTATTAAATAGGCCAAAAGGAAATCACTTGAGCACCTTATAACAAAACTAATTTAAATAACAGATGTGGTACCGTCACAGTGGATAAATTTGACCAGGTAAAACGAAATCAAGCAAGGTTATTGTTGGCCTCGTAACAATATATCGACATAATGTGAAATCGCGCCCTGAAAGTTTTTGTCCAAATAAACAATGAATTATTGCGAATTTGTCGATTGTTGTTGCCAACGCCACACCCTCCCCTGTTGGTATAATGTTCCGTTTAAACACTCATCATACATCGCTTTGCACAGTGGACGAGATTGCTTCCAATGGTTGCGACTTTGTTAACGCCATCTTCTTCGAAGGTAAAGTTTTTGTTGCTTTCTTAGCATGCCATATACCCATACAATGCATGAAGAGTGAAAGTATTTTACACTAACAAGTAAGTCTTATAAATTTAGTTTAATTGTAAGTAATCGTAAAAAACGAATAGAAAACATCATCTTCAGATAATTAGCTAGGGGTCCATATTCAGAAAATTAATGTTATATGTTACTATAGACGTAGTTTTAATTTAAATTCTGAAATTGCAAACAATACATTTCTCGAATACTTGCTTAATACAGTTCAAAAAATTAAAAATATTATATAGAGTATAGAATTCGTCCAAATTTAGACGCACTTTGATAAAAATATCATTGTTATATCATGAAATCCAATCCACTTATAATAAAACCGCAATCAAATTCCGCACCTTGTTTGTGCATTATTAATATCATATATATCATTATAAATTAATAAGTTAACCGTCGCTTGCTTGAGACACAGAATGTATTAACGTGCTCTTACGCTCTATGTATCTTTATAAATAATACTACTAAAAAATACTTAAAAATTTGTTTCGAAAATATTATATTTAGAACCATGCACTATTTAAATGTAAACATAAACTATCACTGTATATTTATTACAATATAATTAAGTAGAAATTTTATTGAAATACCTATAAAATAATGTGTGAGGAATATTTTGACATTTGCTGTTATTGATATAAGCTCAGCTTGTGGAAATGGTTTTAGATGAGTTATTGTATATAAATGTCTTGTGAATGCTATGAAAATTTCCTAGACTTTATCAGCAATTTACGTGTGTGACGTCTTTTATGTATACTTCAGAAATGTTGCTGATTTTGTCACATGGTCAAAAATTGGAAAAAATAGTTTTGCTTTTAAACATCAACAACATCCAATTCGTTTAACAAAATGTCGAAAATTATAACGGTTTATTTTCCAGGCTATCGACATTGCAGTGCTGACAAAGCCTTCACGTGTACATCGCCAAAACTACAAGATAGTGGACCGACCTTAGATTTGAACGCAATAAACCCAACTCTTCACCGACCGCATACTGCAAATCTTCGCGGTAAGCACGGCGTTGTTGATTACGAAAATGCATTTAAAACAGGCCAGCCAAAATATTGGACGCTCCCTAAAAGAACACCGGTGGATCAAAACTTCCAAAGGCCTCCGCTTCCTGAACAAAAAAGACCAAACGACTGTGTTACGCAAGCAGATGTCCATCTTGTAGTAGAACAACGAAGTATGAATAACAATGGCGATTCTGTAAAAGTTTCGCCCATAGATCCCCGAAACACTGGAACTTTTAAATCCTCGACTCCAACTGCCAAGGAAAATACAATTGATATTAACTCCAAATTATTGTCCCCCGTGAGATCTACTATGACAAACGAGGAATTGTATGCCGTTATTCATAAGAGTAAAAAGAAACTAAATATTAAAGAAATCCCCGAAAGGTCGGAGTCACCTGCTTTGTCTACGTTAAGCTTATCACCCGTCAACTCGGATACCTCGTTGTACAGTAAAGGTACGCAGCGTTATCCAGAAACTGGTTATCTAGGTGATCCAAGAAGCAGGTGGTCATTTACCGATAGACAGCTTGAACCTTCTTCTACTCCCAATATTCTAATCGGTATACAAAAACCAGAGAGTACTACATGCGCAGATCGATTTGGTCCAGTACCACAAACTTCTAGGCTCGACTTCAAAAAGCTGTTACTGCAACACAGCGTCAAACTTAATACACTGAATCCCCAAAGCAAATCTAACAAGTTGTCTGCTGTTGAACAACTGAAACTTTCTAAAGAAAAAACACACGCGCCTATGACGCCGCCCGGAAATCGTTCGCAAATTAATATACTCGACCTCAGCGGATCTCCGAAAACGTATAACCATAGAAAGATAATGAAGTCTAATAACCAGCCAGCGTCACCGGGCAGGGCTGGTGCTCTGATAAAAGAACATAAAAATACGCAGAAAATACTACTATCGCCTAAATCACAATGGCGTTTCTCAAGTCCCAGATCGGACGTCCTATCGTCACCAATACCCGAAGCCAACAATGAGGACGAAAACTCAAACAGCTCAGGTGAGAAACAGGACACTTCGCCGATCAACCCATCCAAAACAGTACCAATTGTCACTAATCAACATTTTGGCGCACGCAGGAATTTAATACCGATTTCGGAGCGCACTCCCGAAGCGGAGAATGATTTCCCGCGATCTATTGATCATGGTGTGTTCCCGATAAGTACCGATCAAAATAAAAGTCCAGTGCTAACACGATCGGAAATAATGCAAGCGAAGCGAGCGGAATTCTTCAACAGCTCACCCGATTCGTCGCCGCCTAAGTTTACATCCTTTAAAAGCCCCACTTCGGCTGGCCCGTCTGGTACTGAGAGGCCCGTCAGGGACGAGGCCTCGCCTGAAAGAGGAAAAACCTCGCCTACTACTTTAGAAACAGCATTATGATAACTCCACTAGTGTAGTTTTAACACATAAAGCGGTGCTTGAAACAATTTCTGATAGCACCTATTTTGTACATATAGCAATGAAATTAATAGAAGCTTTAATCTAGTCTTTCTTGCTTAAAGTCATTTTTGGAAGCACGAAACGGATTTTGAAACCAGTGGCTACTTACCTCAAATGGTATTTAAAAGCTCAAAATTTTTTCCGTTTTTTATTTCTTTTAATTGCTCTAATGGGGCCAATATTTGTTCATATTAAAATGATATTAATATAACTCGATGGTTACAAATTAGTATGTAAGTATTTATTGAATATACATAATAGGTACTACCTATGAACGTAGTGTTTTCAATTTTTCAAAGTTTTTAAGTTATTCGGAAGATAATTTTAAATAAACGTGTTGAATGATAACTGTTTACATTATTTTAAGTCCTTATTTATCTGTTTCATCATAGATAGTTGTAAAAAGTTACGCACACTACTTTGCTCGAGACACAGAATATAAAGAAATAAATAAATTTGCATAAAGAAATCTATGGAATATGTTACTATTACACTAACTAATACGCTGCTGTCTTGTTGTGTACCACCAATAAAGTAATTAACACTAATGCTGGTCAAAGACATTTTAAACATTTCTTTGAACTTAGTAATAAGCCAGTTCGACTGGGGAAGTACCGCGGTTTCACAGAAGGCGTTAGAGACTGTCTCTATATGGTATATAAAAAGTATTGATACTTCACTGAAGTATGGCCGGCCATATAGCTCTAGAATCGATAGCCAATGGGGAAGAAAGGATCTCGAGTGGCAGCCTCTTACTGACCATCGTAGTGTAGGATGACCCCCCGACTAGATGGAGCGACGATCTGTGCAAGGGTGCGGGAAGTCGATGCATGCACGTGGCCCAGGATCGTGCTTCATGGTGGTCTGTGAGAAGGCCTATTGTCAATAATTGAAACAGGCAGAAATGATGATGATTTGTACTTTTGCGTTTCATCTTAAGAGTAAGTTGAATGTTACTGCAGTGAGTTTACCGGGACCGGTGTTGGAATCGGATTTTTTAAATTTGATTTATCGGAGCCGCAGTCGAAGTGGGGAGCGGTGTACAATGTACTATTTAAGGGTAAACCTGTAAAAATAATGGATATACAAGACAGCAATCAGTCTTTCATCAGAACAGAATAAAACTTAAATATTATATAAACAAACGTAAATATGCAAAAATAGGAAGTCTCTCTTCTACATTTTCTTAAAAACAAGCCTTCGGTGTGGCTGATGTTCATGGGCGGCGGTGATCATATTCGCTCAGGTTAGCCTCGGGCTCGTTTGTCGCCTTTTTCCATAAAAAAACTTACAAAATGAATTGGCAGTTCCGTTCCGAACCGACTATTCAAAATCGGAAGGTAGGAATGACAACATCTCTGATATTGTTGTCTTACCTTTAGCGGTAATCCTCACTTACCTTCGGGCAACAACTTGCTCTTTTTGAGATACAAAATCCGGAACAATCATCTGTGGGTCACACAAATACTTGTCCCGTGAGAGAATCAAACCACGACCCCTGGCGCCGAAGCCAATAGCTTAGTAACTGCGCCACCGAGTCATATTTTATTAAAAGCAGAAAATAAATTTAATACGGGGACGAGAAAGACAAATACACCTCGAGACTTTTTACACTAAAGTGACAAACGCTTGCCGACTTCTTTTTTCTTATTGCTTTAATTACGCTATCCTTTATAAACCAGACCGACATGCGTGCGAGAGGTATAAAGTTGGTCGCTACCCGCTTTGCAACCAACTTCATTATATCATTTTTTGGCTGTCCGGTCGCATCGTAAAATTTTACTATGTTTCAAACGCGCCAAAAGTTTAATTTCAATCTTTGATTCTACACTTGTCACTTGATAAGTATGCAATCAAAGATTTCATAAAATAAATAATCGTAACAGTAATCTGTTCATTTATTTATTATAAACAGAAATCTTAAATATCTTACTTAATTCATCACTTTATAGTATAAAAACTATTTTGTAGCTTCCTTCTTAAATTATGACAAATAGATGATTAATGTTGTTTCCAATAATTAAGGTCAAATCAAAGTAAATACTAAACGTAATTTCCGTTTTTGTTTGTATAAATATTAAATATCAAAATGTTATTGGATTAATACCAAATAAAGTTTGATGTTTGTAGAGAACCAATGAATGTTAGAGGCTGTTCCATTAAAATACGATTTCTGACTATCGTACTTAATACTGCAAATCTGATTAATGAAATAGCCACACCAAGTTTGGGCATGTCCCATTCATTAATTTCTCCCATTACAGTATTTAGTACATACATTTTTTTGGGTATCTTCATAATTGGGGCCTTGAGAAAAAAATATGCATCATATTTTATGCAAATGTATGGGATTGTTGCTTGCTGTCTTCTACAAATCTCTTTGTCCATATCTGTTTTTAATGGATTAAAAACAATGGTGCATACTAAACGAGCACCATTGGTGTTAAATGGATTATTACCAATGGTAGCCATATGTCTACTGGTAGCTGATCTGGTTATAACAACATTATCAAATCGACATAACTTTATCTCACCACCGTCAAATGCCTCTCCAAACCAAGATACAGTTAACAATGGATGAAAAAGCTGTTTTGTGTATGTTAATTTTTATTAATAAAACCATAATTGTTTTTCCATATACATTTATTTCATAATATTATCTAACATAATTGGTTCACCGAGTAGTGGTGTGTTTGAAACTATAACATTATAGATATGTTGTGCAAATCAAAAATGATCAACCCACTCACTACTATACATAAGATGAAATATTTGTAAAAAGCTTTGTTGAATGTTTTAATTCAATCAAAACTTTTGTAAGCTGCTTTAATTACAAATAAGGATTGTTTATTTCTTAACAAAGCTTTAAAACTTTGTGTTAAATTTAATTTATATAAAGCAAAATAGTCAACTGCTTACTTATTACTTATACTTGTACATACTGCTACACTTAAAATGGGTATTAAAATTGAAATTTATATGCAATAAATGTTATTTAGAAAAAAAAAGTCGAGAGAATTATAATCTTAAACACACACTTCTCAGAAATCTCTTCCCGTCATCTTAAAAGTTCACTATTAATTGTTCATAAAAGCACTATTTATTCATAGGTGGTCCATTCATTAGTGGTGGTCGCATTTGCCCCATTGGACCCATTGGTCCCATGGGCCCCATCAAGGGTCCCATCATAGGTGGCCGCATACCCATCATAGGGGGCATGGGCCCATGAGGTCCCATCATCATTGGCGGGGCCATTGGTCCACCGGGACCCATTCCTGGGGGTGGTAACATCCCTGGAGGCCCACCAGGTGCTGGTACTGGTGGTCTGGGTCCTCCTGGTGCCATAACAGAAGGATCCCAAGGTGGTGGGATGGCTGCACCTTTATTGCCAAATGGATTCTGCGCAATTTTGCCAGCTTTGAAAGCAGCTGTTGTAGCGTCGATAAGATGCTGAGCTTGTTCTTCCATCCATTTCTGATAATAAAACTTCACATTGTCTTTGTGTTTTCGCCCGGTACAGTGTGTTTTTCGCACACTAGGTGAGTCATGTGTTAAGTAAGTATCGCAATAATCACAATAATATTTAGGCATTTTAACTAGAATGAAAAAGTTCTAGAAAAACAATAATAATAAGTAATTTATCAATATAACACACGCAACTTTGACAAACGTTTCTTTTTAATTTTTATCTGTGAAAAAGACATTGACAAATACATTATTGCCAGACACCATATATAACTTTCTTACAATAGGTGAAAAATAATAATTTAAACATAAAGACAGGTTCATGCATAATTAATACGTATTTATGTATAATTTATTAATGAGTTTTACAAGAACTGATAACGATAACTTTTTTAAGTACACAATTTTTTTGGTGTTAAGTGTAGTTTGCTGTTAGCTCGGCGACTTTGATAGCATCGGTGCGGCACAGGGATGTTGAAAAAATATCGATGTACGCCTTCAAATTTTTTCAATTTTTTATAGGTTGGTAAGTTATGTTATATAGGTTAGATTTTCAACATTTGATTTATTACATTTAGTATTAGTTTAATTCGCACTCATTTGACTAACGAAAGACAAGAAGGCTACAATCGTCAGCTATCATTTATCCGACACTGCTTCGTTAATGTGAAGCAAGAAGACTATGATCACCGCCTTTCTTTACATGCTCGTTTAGCCAATGAACTGATTAACAACAATGGCAAAGATTGAAGTCCTACTCGCTCGTTCCAGTCCAAGGTGGCTTAATAAAACACCAGAAGCCAGAGTCGAAAGATGAAATTTGGTTTGAGAAGCAGCAAGAAATACAAGAATACAAGAAAGTGCTGAACAATTTCTGGAGACGATCAATATCTTTGCAACCATTCGGTTAAAAGTTCATAAATTTATTTACAATCATTACCCATTGTGTTGGCGAATTTACAACGGCTCAACTTGAATTACTTTGCGATTGTCAAGGAATACCGTTGATAGGAGAATTTGCCGATGGAATTGCTGTTGGAGTTTATAATATATATAATAATGGTGGAGGGGCACGACATGATCCAAATTACACAACGAACGAAAGATCCCATGTTATTAATTAACAATAACAAGACGATGAAAGCGATTCAGAAGCCGCCAGGTAGTTGAGGATATCTTGTGTAAGCGCTGAGTCTGTTACCTGTTAGAGCCTCTATCACCTCTATCGCATTCCTTGCGGAAATGTGTTGTCAGGTGGTGGGCAGGAAAACTTTTTAAGGTTTTGTGTTAATTTTTATTCTCCATATCTTGTATACAGGGGTCGGGGACAATGTTATCGTGTCATCTTCTTACACCAGCCTCGTTCTACTCTCCTGGAGGTCGTCTACCCACGAAACTCTTCTAGCGAATCTGTAAAATCGTAGAGGCTAAAAACGTACTACACTTTATAAAAATAAAGTAGCGCAACCTTAGCATAAAGCTTAGTAATCAGTTCCAGGTATAAAACACGGAAAAGATACCCATACTGGCAACAGCCAGAATTAATGCCAGCCAGGTAAAAGAAGAAGATAAAACACGGAATAAGGAAAACTTGTTTTCTCTATTCTGTTACTATAAAAGTGTAGTGTAAGTGTAGTGTAGTAATCACAGAACATTAGTACTCTCACGATGGTTTACTAACCATACATATACCTAGAGTCTATGCCTATGGTCTATGCTCTACCAGGCGCGCAGTGCGATTTTGACGTTGGCACATGTGTGATTGTTTTTAAATTTTAATTCATAGAACGTGATTCTCTTAAAGTGCGCATATTCATAAAACATCGATTTTATGTACAATGCTAATAGCTTAAAACTTAAGGAAAAATGCCAGACATGAAATATATTTTAGTTACTGGCGGTGTAATTAGCGGTGTAGGAAAAGGTGTCATCGCAAGTTCTTTTGGAACAATTTTAAAAAGCTGTGGTATAGATGTAACGTCCATTAAAATTGACCCGTATATTAATATTGACGCTGGTACTTTTTCTCCATACGAACATGGTAAGTGTTTATACGATTGGCTAATATTCCGATGTTTAACCTCATAGTTGCAATGGACAACATTGCATGTCTATTTTTATTTTCTAGGTGAAGTTTACGTGCTTGATGACGGTGGTGAGGTCGACCTTGATCTTGGCAACTACGAACGATTTTTGGACATTACACTGCACCGGGAAAATAACATTACTACCGGGAAGATTTACCAACAGGTCATAGAACGTGAGAGGCGAGGAGATTATCTTGGGAAAACAGTACAGGGTGAGCAAAACTAACCTTTACGTAAAACCCTAAAACTTCTAAATTATTACCGATTTTCAATTACCATGAATTTTGTACTTGAAACTGTATTTATTAAACACTATTTTAGTTGCGGCCCCTGTTTAAACTTAAATAAATTCCAAGTATTATTCTTCAACAGTAATTCCCCACATAACTGATGCTATCCAAGAATGGGTCCAACGGGTGGCACACATTCCTGTCACACCAGACAACACTCCACCTAAAGTATGCATTGTGGAGTTGGGGGGGACCATAGGTGATATTGAAGGAATGTCATTTGTTGAAGCATTTAGACAGTTCCAGTTTAGAGTGAAAAGAGAAAATTTCTGTTGTGCTCATGTCTCCTTAGTTCCAATGGTAAGTTAAATAATAAAAAATAATTACCGATAACTTCTTAAGCATAGTATCCCATTTACAAGTCAATGTTGTTTCCACAAAATGAAAGCTTAGTTTATATTGTCACCTAATCATATTTATGTTATAAATATTAAATCAAAATAATCCTTACTAATATTATAATGGCGAAAGTCTGTATGTATGGATGGATGTTTGTTACTCTTTCATGCAAATACTACTGAAGGGATTTTAATGAAACTTTACAATAATATAGCTTATACATTAGAATAACCCATAGGCTATAATTTATATATATACACATATTTTTATGTATAACTGTCTTTCTGTCTGAATGTTACGCATTCAGCCTATTCTATGCAGACATAGTCGCGGGCAGCAGCTAGTATATAATAACTCGTAGTATTCTGTGCATTCACACATTATTACTTCACACGTCTATTTTTTTATTTTGATTTTGGGAAAAAAATTAAATCAGGTGTTGCAACATGTTCAGACTGTGGCATGTTTTACTTTATATTCCATTGCATTATGATGTTTTACATAGCAATGTTAAGTGATTCAACTAGCTAAGGGCTAAAACATAAAATATATATCGGTACTTAAAAAATTATTTATTTATTAAGGCCAAATCATAGTTCATATTGTGTTGCTTTAAAAAGGTTTTTTTTAAGTTATAGGTTTATTTATTAAAAAGAAATTAGTTTACCTACTCTCAAATAAAAAAAAATCCTGTCTTCCTTATGTGGCAGTCTTGGAACAACTTATGAAGATCATAAAAATTTTCACTACAGTAATTTTGTTCCGGAATTGATCCCACAATTCACAGTGCTGTGGTGACCAATCACCAAGGTGACCTCCTAAATCATTTTCAACTTCATTCAATTACAAAAGTTACAACTTTCTTTTAGCCTAAATCAACAGGCGAACCAAAAACAAAACCAACACAATCTTCAGTCCGGGAATTGCGAGGACTGGGGTTATCACCAGATTTAATATTGTGCCGTTCTGAAAAACCAATCAATCATACAGTAAAAGAAAAAATCTCAAACTTTTGCCATGTTGGACCAGAGCAGGTAAAATTTAGTCACCAGTTATATATATATTTCAGAGTTTTTGCTAATATTATTTAGTACCATGTTGTAAATAGAACTATGGTCTATTTTCAACAGATGTCAAGAAAGGATTGCTTTGAGTCGCATGTATGTACAATGCATTTTTTACCAATAATGCAATAAGTATACTTGTTTGGGAAAAATTAGAAATATTCATTTAATTTACTGGTAAATTAGAATGTGTAATGATGTAGCTGCAAAGTTTTTTAGAAAAAATTCACAGTAGCTTTGAGACACTAATATTGTTATATAATAATAATATTCTGTGCCCATAGAATTTTTAAAGTGCAGTCATCATATATTCTCAGTATATTTAGTTTTTATTATTAAGAATTTATAACTACTTGATTTGAACTGTACTTGATATTATAACAGGTGTTGAATAATTATAAACAGTTACATTCTGTAGCAAGTTTATATGATGTATTGCTTAGTTTTGAGTAGACTTCACTTTTTACATGAAGAACTCTTTATGCAAGTACAAAAGGGTTCTTAAATATTAGTGCCCCATTGAAACTAAATGTGCTGATACATTATTCTACTGAAATTAAATATTCATCAGCAAATTTTTGATGAATGTATTATTATTTAATAAATGTGACAAATGTACAATACAAACAATTTTTGCATACAAAATAAATTAGTGTTGTAACTATTAAGTATTTAAGTAATACAGTACCTAGCATTTAGTTCTATCTTTGAATGCCTATATTTTTGTTCATGAATACTTATTTTAGTTTTTATTTTCTTATACTAAATATCTTTGTTTTAATCAGGTAATATGCATTCACGATTTGAGCTCAGTTTACCATGTTCCTCTGCTTATGGAAGCACAGGGTGTCGTACAGTATCTTAATGAAAGGCTCCAGCTAAATATGTCGGTGCCTCGTCCAGGAAGGTAAGCCATTCTTTCAGGTACTTGCTGTCTAGTATTAAATATTGACTTATAAGGAAATGATTATTTTCTTAAATAACTAATATATACATTGTTGTTTTTAAAGTATAAAGGATAATAAATAGGATTACCTTAATGATGCTCATTATTTTTAATTGGAACGTTTTTTAAAAAAGAAAAATAAAACATAATAAATAAATAAATAATAGTAGTAACTAGTAGTAGTAATAAAGTCATCGTCACATTGTTTCTTTATTCAACAACTACAAACAAGAACTAACGTGACCAACAGGTTCATGCAAAAGTGGCGCAACCTCGCCAAGAGGGTCGAGAACCTTCGGAGGGAGGTCAACATAACACTGGTCGGCAAGTACACCAAGCTCGAGGACAGCTACGCCAGCGTCACGAAGGCGCTGCAGCACGCGTGCATCGCGGCGGGCTACAGGCTCAACCTGACCTACGTGGAAGCAGTCTCCTTGGAGAGGCAGACCAAGGTCGACGATCCGGTCAGCTACCACAAGGCCTGGCAGGACCTTTGTAAGTGCGAGTAAGTTGCCCATTTAGCTATTTGACTGAAACAACTCCTACATTAGTTAGTACTGTGACAATGGGTATTGTAAACAGGTATACTTTATGAACTGAAGTTTACATTTTACGTTGCTACTCTTTTGGATGTAGTAGTAAGATTACTTTTTTCATATCAACAATTAAGCGCGCGTGAACGTCTTTATTCCCCCCAACACCAATCACATTCTTAAACTTAGCTTTAACGAAGAGCTGAACATATCAGTACGTTTTTGTTACCTCTATGTATGTAAATCTATTATGGCCACTAGACGTCATAGAGGACGGGACCTTCATGGCGCGGACTGTGCAATAAATAAGGTCGTGAAATTGGAGACCAGTATCAATATATCCCTGTATTCAGCTATCTAAACGATTATTTTTTATTACAAGAAAATACTATTACCTTTTATTTATTTTATTAATCGTGAAACGAAAAACTTGGGGCTGAAAATTCCTACGCACAAAACTAAGTTTATGAATCTAAGTCATTTATGGTGCAGGGGGCGCAACTCTGTAACGACTTACCACTAGAAGTATGGCGTGCTCAGGCATTAAATATTTTCAAGAATCTTGTAAAAAATAATTATTTATTTTTTTAATGTTATTTCCTAACAATGTTATACTTATATATAAAAAGCCTCCCAGTATATACTGGGGCTTTTTAAGTGAATCCGTTTTTTTTTATTAAATTCTAGACATAAATAATGTGAATTATAAAATGATAAATATTTAAAATCACTCTTAATTAATTAAATACATTCATTTGAACTTATCTCAAAAAGTGCGTGATTTATGGGCAACTCATTTATTTTACGCGCGATCATTCATAACTAACACGGACACAAGTTGGTTTCAAAAGTATACGACGCATTTATGAATGATTACCGCATTGTCAACAAGTTTTGTTTTTTTAGTGAATGGAATAATGTATATGTATTGTGTATTTATATGTATATATTTTGTTAGCCTTTTGTATACACATATACTTTTTTACTTACCTATTTATAAATATCTTATCAATATTAATTAGGATTGTAGATAAGTATTTATTTATTTCATTCACTTAGTTAACCCACACCTTTATCCTAAATTAATTTATTTTTAGTCCATCCAAAGGTTGCTTGGAAGAAATTACTCTTAGTAATAAGGCCGCCCATTGTACCCATCACTTCTACATTAAGTTTTAATTTTTGTTTGTTCTATTTGTGGTGTGTAATAAAGAATATTCATTCATTCATTCATTCATGTTACCATTTCAGCGGCGTAATAGTGCCAGGCGGATTCGGCCAAAGGGGCATGGAGGGCAAGATCGAGGCGTGCCAGTGGTGCCGCGAAACGCAGAAGCCAATGCTGGGCATATGCCTGGGTCTGCAGGCGGCCGTGGTGGAGTTTGCGAGGAACGTTCTGGGCCTTAAAGGCGCAAACAGCACGGAGGTGGACCCCCAATGCGAAGATAAGCTGGTCATCGACATGCCGGAACACCACCCGGGTAACCTCGGCGGTACTATGAGGCTGGGGAAACGCAAGACCTATCTGGAGCCCAGCTTGATCTGTTAGTATGGAATGTATATACCGTTCAATATTCATACTGTTTGCTTTCAAAAGACGTGCAGTTAAAAAAGACTTTTTGAACTGCACCTCAAGAAGATTTTTTTTAGATTTTTGTGTCTTCCAGGTAAGTAAGCTAAGCGGTCGTTTTCACACGCGGCTTAACAATCTTTTCCTTATTAATGTTTAAGTCCGGAGGGTCGAATTCCACACCATTACTAAGAGCGACGTGTCGTTTCGAAGCACATGTGGTTATGCCATGCATTTTTTTTGTTACAAATTGAATTGTATACAGTTAACAAGATTCTGAAAATGTGTAACATTGGATATTGAGCATTTCCTGGCAGTGGTAGCAACGGTAGTAGGGCCACACAGCAGCCTCGGCTGTTGCACGAATGGGCAGGCCCGTCCGGGTAAGTACCACAACCTCACAGTAAACCAGCGTAAAGTGGATGTATGACAAATACTTTCGCGTTTCGTCTGGTGTGTGAGGTAGCCGGAGCCCAATTTTCGAAAGGCTGTCAACGCCTCTGTACTGTATTACCCTCGGGTGTAGCAGATGTCCATGGGCGGCGGTATTCACTTACCATCAGGTGAACCGTCCGCTCGTTTGGCAACTTTTCACATAAAAGAAAAAAGTGCTATCACAGTATAACGCTGCCAGGCAAAGCTGCAGTAATGCAGTGCACAATCACTGACACAATCGACGTTTACAGCGCAACTGTACAAGAAGGACGTGATAGAGGAGCGTCACAGGCACCGGTACGAAGTGAACCCCGAGTACATAGAGCGGCTGGAGGCGGCCGGGCTGCGGTTCGTCGGCAAGGACGAGAGCAAAACGCGAATGGAGGTCGCCCTAGTGGAGAGCCACCCTTACTACGTGGCTGTGCAGTTCCACCCGGAGTACCTATCGCGGCCGCTGTCCCCCAGCCCACCGTTCCTAGGGTGAGTCCCGGTCGCACCTCCATCCATGACACTAATTAACCTTTTCCTTTTCGGTATCAGTCAGTTGCGGTTGATGATGTGAATTTTGGAGGGGTTAAGTTTGGAGATGCAATTAGGACGGATTATAAAAAAAGATAAGATAATTTAGTAATAGTCATTATTTTTATCATATTGTGGCCAGTTTGTGTAAGATAACATTTATTACCTACCAAAGTCAAATTTTTCAAAAGACATGTATACAATTTTTGAGGGATAAGAACCATGGCTCCGTAGTGCAGTCGCCTAGGTATTGGCCTCGGCGTCGGGGGTCGTGGGTTCGATTCCCACATGGGACAACTATTTGTGTGACCTACAGATAGTTGTTCCGCATCTGGGTGTTTGTCCGCGTAAAATTTATGCTTGTAAAAGCGTCCTTACAACACAGGATAATGTTATCCCAAAGTAAGGGGCAATGTTTTAAAAAAAATCATGAAAAAAAAATCAATTCATGAAATTCATGGCCCTTATTGATCCGCGCCTGCGTTTACTATCAAGACATTTCAGGCATTCAGGTTCCATTTATTTTGAATTCGATTTAAGCCTTTGGCAGTAATGGGAGACAAAGAATCAAAATAATGCATAAACTTTATGCAGGATAGTAAAAATAAATTATTTTTAAATTATTAATTTCATAAATAATAATCTAACTAATACTTTTATTTTTGTATACAGTACTGGTTTTAAATGTACAGATCAAAACCACTATAAATAACTCTTCTAATTTCAGATTAATACTCGCGTCACTTGGTAGACTCAAAAACTACATGTCCAAAGGATGCCGTCTCAGCCCCAGAAACCAATCGGATGTTAGCTCAGGTTTGTTTAAATCAGGTTCGTTTTCCACTAACTGCACAACTCAAAATGCACAGCATGTGAGAGTGCTTTACTCTCGATATGTGGGCATACTCCAGTTTCGCTACATTAAACCGTTTTTATACTCTAAGCTAGACATTAAATTCATATAATAAACAATGTTTAAATAACTAGAAACATCAAATTATAAGACCATTTTTTTCCAATTGATTCACTTTAGATTACATAAGAAACAAATGTAATTGAATAAATTGTGTCCCACCGTCCGTTGGTCTGTGTGTCAGTGTCTCTTTACGTTTTAAATATAACTAGTCTGGCCATAAATACTGTTACATAAATACTTTTCTTTTTTTCAACTTTTTAATTATTTTTAATTTGGAACACGTATATTATTTTAAAACTGAATTCGATTTTGCGCCATTTCACATATTTTTTCGTGTTCATTATCAAATTACAATATGGAATGGGGTGTTAAAGAAAATAGGATTGCAGTGATCGCCTTGTACAAAGTCGGTATGGCGCCGTCGATCATATTCCAGACACTTCAAAAGCTTGGTATCAGCCGTATGTTCGTATATCGTACTATCAACAGATTCAGCAACACTTCGTCTGTCGAAGACCAGAAAAGATCGGGGCGGCCTCGTGTTGTTAGAACTACAAAGGCTGTTAATGCTGTTAAAGCCACAATTCGTCGAAACCCCAATAGGAAGCAAAGGAAAAAAATCTTATCGCGAGAAATTAAGATTCTCGCTAGGACTCTGTCGCCTATTATAAAACAAGACCTGAAGCTCCGTGCTTATCGCCGATATACAGGACATGCCCTAAATTAATCTTTACAATTAAAGAGAGCGGATCGATCAAAACGCCTTCTGTCGCGATACGTAGGTGAAAGTCACAGAAATATCCTCTTTACCGATGAAAAAATTTTCACGATTGAAGAACACTACAATAAGCAAAATGATAAGTGTACGCTCACAGTTCTAAAGAAGCTGCTCAAGTTGTCGGAAAGGTACAGCGTGGTCATCATCCTGCGTCAGTGATGGTTTGGTGGGGAGTGTCTTATCAAGGAGTCGCAAAACTACATTTTTGTGAAAAAGGAGTGAAAACTTCAGCCAAAGTGTATCAATATATCTCTCAGCAATACACTTTTAAAAATATACCGTGGACTTTCCAGCAGGACTCTGTACCTGGTCACAAAGCACGATCCACCCAAGCCTGGCTTGAAACCAACGTTCCGGACTTTATAATAGTTGAAGACTGGTCCTCTAGCCCAGACCTCAGCCGTTTAGACTTCAAATTATGGTCAGTTTTAGAGGACATGGCCTGCTCTAAACGACACGGCGACCTTGACGCCTGCTTTCTGAAACACTGATTGAACTCTCTGAATTGATTAGAATGATCTTCTTTATGTTCAGAATGATCAATTCAAAGAGTTTAACCATCATTTTGGCAACTCAAATGAAATTTGAAAGCCATTTGACAGATGATTAGTTGACATCTACGATGATCAGTGTGTCAGAAACCGGGCGCGAGTCTCTTAAAAAAATCTTTGGAGCAAGCAGTGGCGAAATTTCTCTAGGAACCAGTGCGTAATTCCATAGATTCGTGGCCAAACAGATTAAAGGTGGCCATTTCGAATAGAACATTTTTTTATTTTTTGCTGAGACGATAATAAATTTGTAGGTATAAATTTTAATAATATTACATTACTTCATTTAAAAAAAAATGCATTTTCATTTGTAACAGCACTTATGGCTGGACTAGGGTTAGTTTGTTTTGCATTTATTTTAATGTGTTTGTTTTTGCGAATTGTTTTTTGTTATTGAACTTACAACCATTTAAAAGTTATTAAAGAAAGTTGATCAACTTCTCTGATTTTTCTCTTGTAAAAATTGTTGTTACAATTTTTTTTATCTATTATCTTTTCAATTATTGTCGTTCTGTGTACTCTCTTGTATTCCCATGTAATATAACACGCGTGTGAATCGTGCACTTTTCTCTCTGATCTAATCGGAATCTCGGAAACGGCTTCAGCGAATTTCATGAAATTTAATATGTGCGTAGATTCGGGGGCGAAAAATCGATCTAGCTAGGTTTCATTTTTAGAAAATGTCCTTTTCATCCCTGTTTTCAGGGAATGAAAAATATCATTCGAATATGACGGTAAATTTCGCCGAAAAAAGAAATGTTATAATAGCTCGGTCGGTAATTGGGCGGCCCCGAAACAGAAAGCCGCGGTTCGTGTCACGATCATTTACACACTTATTTTTTTTTACTTTTTTTCTATGCCAGATCATTGCTTTCTTTATTTTTTTATTTTTTTTATTGAAAAACCGTGCAAAGCTCGGTCCTCCAGGTACTTTACTATTAAAAACGTCCTCTAGACAAAGATCAGCTTATGAGGTCATTGCAATTCTTTAAGCAATTCACACCTTTTAATATATTTTCCAATGTATAATTTTTATATAAATTATTATAAATATGTTTCATAATATATCAGGTTAATTTTTCTAATAACCCTTCATACTATCTATATTATTCAAAATTTTTTAACATGTGCAAGTCTGTCTTTATACATTAATAATAGTTGTTTGCCCTTGTAATTACAGGTTTTAATAATAAAAAGACAATTTATATAAAAAATAAATGTTATATTCTATTGTTTCAGATGAAGATGACATTTCAGTATCGTCCCTTAGTTTAATTGAAGAAAAAACTGTCATTGAAAATGGCAAGCATGTCAATGGTGTTAAGAATTGAAAGATCAAATAAATCTATCTAAAATTATCTAAAGTTAGTGTAAGTAAAAGTGATGATTCCAATTGAAATCGCTTAGTTACTTCTGCCATCTGCTTCTTTCTCTATATTCTTATAGAAAAATATTTATATAATAATTTAAACATGTATTACCCAGTGATATGCAGAAAAATTTAAATATTTACATATGGATGTAACAAAAAATATATTAGTATCAGTATATTTATATCTATTATATTTTTTAACTACATGTATAAATGGTACTAGGTGTAGTTCTACTTTTAAAAGGATAACTATTTTTGAGCAAATTATTATTATATGTTTTTCCATATCTTTTGCGGGCAAAAAATTATGTATTGATCTGATTTTCTTAAGGTGGCAACCTCAATTAACCTACTCAAACAATAACTGACAGCATAATAATATTTACTGCATATTTTATAAGAATAACAATATATATCAGACTTTTTTTCAAATTGTCTGCCAAATAAGTCTAAAATTATAAATAAGTGAAAAAAAAATGTATGTTTAGTTGTTTTGTATGCTTCACATTATGTGACATTTGGCGATACCACAATATTGTCCACATATTGTTGGAGAACTTGTATGAGTTTTTTTATTAAAAAAAAATATTCTAGTTTTAAGTGTGTCTTTTTTACTCTTAAGTAAAAAATAAATAATGACAGTTGGATCTATTATTATATAAAAACATTCTAACATTAAAAATTAAAAGATTTCTCTAATTAAAGTCTGTACACATTACAATATATTTCTACCATTTTACTTTTATGGTAGAATATAATCAGTTTTTGGGAATAAATTGTAAACAGTAAACTTTTAAGATTAAAAAAAATATTGTTTACTTACAAAAAAGTAAAACAATAACTCTCTATTTTAAGATACAATATAAGTATACATAGGGCAAACTATGTTTTTAATTTTATTTTTTTTTTAGAAATGATTTGATTTTGTTGATGAAGAAACTTCAATAAACTATAAGTTCTCTGTCTGAATATAATTGTTTTCATTTCACATTTATCCAAGTATCACCACACACAATAAATTTTATTATCCCAAAGATGCAAGTATAGCAGTGGTTTATTCTACACAAAACCACAATTTTGATTTCGCTTAAAATGACACTGACTAATGTACAATACTTTTCATATTATGATAATGTTTGACAGCTCTAGTAATATGTTAAGATTTATGTCTATATTTTCAATATGAAAGTAAGATTACCTTAAATAACTTTATGGTTGTGTTTATTTTATATTATTTTATATATATGTATAACTAGGTATAAAGTAATAACTTTTCACAATCATCCACAGATCACTTGATTATTTCGAAAATATTGACTGGATTTTAAAATGGAACACCAAAAATTCATAGAAGCAAAAATAGAATTTTTCATTTAGTTTATTTTTTTATGTAGATTCGAGTGGTTATTTGTAAGATGATGAAAATTTTCACAAGAATTTGTTAATTTATATCTCACAAAATGCCTTTCAAATGCTCAATACAACGCTGTGATATTTCTAATGTTCAATAAATTTACCGTAGGCAAAACGCGGTATTTTGGTAGGGCAACGCAGCAGCTTCGCCTGTTGAACGAATGGGCAGGCTCGTCCGGGCTTCTCCGACCGGCCTTGACGTGGCGGAGGGGCTTAGTAGCCGTGGCTTGGTCCCCCACGGCGAAGCTAAGAGAGGGCTGCTCCGAGGGACAGGTCGAGGGTGGTAGAAGTGGAACCACTCTCCCTGTCTTCTGCTACCGCCTCGTTTTAATAAGGCGGGCCCCGGCTACCTCACTCACCAGACGAAACGCAGAAGTGTAACACTTGTAATTTACGCCGGTCTTCTGTAAGGTCGTGGTAATTACCCGGACGAACCTGCCCATTCGTGCAACAGTGAAAACTGTTGCGTGGCCGAAACGTGGTAAGCGGCGGAGCCAAAGACCAGATCCGCCGCTGGGGGCTGGGAAGCTTGTTGCTTATTGGCACCTGCTCTCCTGGCTCCCATGGCCTCTGGTCAGCGAACTCGGGGGAGTTCGTTGACCGTGAATAAGGGACCGAGTAGAAAGGCGCGCTGAATGTTCCAGCGTGCCCTACCTGGAGTAGAGCTAGAGGTAGGAATTGCTCCCCGGGAGGGAGGGGGCTGCTGAGGCGGCCAGCGCTGCCAGCGTCGCAGAAGTGTGCGAAAGCGTTCCCGTGGCCCTGCCGATATGCGCCTAGGTGGCGCATCGTGGGGGTTTTAGTCGGTGCGAGTCCGATATAACCCACTCTTGCCCCCGCGACGGCGGGTATGCCTTGGCATTTCCCCCAGGTCAACAAAAAGAAGGCTCGTCCGGGACAGTACCACGGCTTCACAGAAGGCTACGAATAACCGAGATCTGCAGTAGACTGGATTGCTATTGGGGTTTTGCCAATGATATTTTGTAAAATACGTTATACGCATACAAAATCACCGGTGTACAAAATCGAGTGTTCCTATTTCCAAACAGGCACACATTCACACCTTTTGTTCGAATGATATAAAAAGAATAGCGTAATTAAGGCAGCATTGAGAAAAAAGAGGACTCTAAGTATTTGTCACTTTAGCCTAAATGTAAAAAAATCTCGACGTGCATCCGTCTTTCGCGCCTCCGTACTAAACTTATTTGTTGCACCTCTTTTGGTTTGCCACGAAATCATCCAAATTGGGACGTTTTCGTGGCAACAAAAGCAAAACCACAGCTTGCCAATCCGTTACTAATATTAACAGACGGCTCGAGCCGAGACTCCTTAGGCAGCCCTCGAGCTGTCACTCGTACACAAGGTACGGGCTAGGGCCTAGGCGTCCTCAGCGCCCGGCCATCTCAAGCACGATAGATCAGTAAAGGCCTCAGGTCCACAGTGAACGATTCAACAAAAAAAAAAAACAAAATGAATGGTTAGTGCTCTGCTGACAAGAATGTATTACCCAATAAACTGTAAAACTGCTCAACTGTAATAAAGGACAAATTTGATGTTATGTTCATGTAAACTGTAGTTTACACAAATATATCGATTTATGCCCTCGAGCCAAAATTAGTTCAGGGATTTAAAACTGCTGTTAATCTGTAATCTTCAGACTAATTGTAATCAAGATCAAGTAAGTTGTAAATAAGATTGGCGAATATACATTAGGCTGCCCTCTCACGGCTCTTCAACACAAGGTTTTTTGGGTACGTTTTCAAAAAGTGTAGAGACTTGGTCATAGATAGCGCTACTGTGTAATGTTTTTTTATAAGTTTTGTACGAACTATCTCTCCCCCTCCCAGCCTCCCACCACCTTTAATAAATCTAGGATTTGCGTTGTTCTGTGCACGTTGTTTTTGCGAATTTTTCGGGTAGCGTAATGTTTGAAATAAAATGAATATCGACTGAATAAAACGCATATTTGTACTTATTTTGCATATAGTAAATAAAATCTTGTGACAGTATTCATGTGACGTGATTTGTATACAGTGCACGATATTACGCCTGACCATGACATAAGTTATCATATTTTACAACCGTTTATTTTTTAATAAACAAAAATGGTATTTGAATCGATAGTTGTTGATGTTCTAAATAGATTTTTAGGTGATTACGTTGAGAATTTGAACAGATCCCAGTTAAAGTTAGGTATATGGGGCGGTAAGTTTTTTGCTCAAGTGATGTCATTTCAACACTGTAGTTGTTATTTATGTCATCAATTTATTTTTACAGGAGATGTAGTGCTAGAAAATTTAATATTAAAGCAAAATGCGCTGGAAGAACTCAACATCCCAGTCCAAACAGTTTATGGACATTTGGGTAAGCTTCAACTTGAAATTTGAAAATTGTCTATATGGCCATGTCTACTTTTAAAATCTTTCATATTTCTTTAAATTTAGGGATATTTACTGTATATATTTTACTATCAGAACAGCTTACGTAAAAAAAATTAGTCTATTTACCTGTTTTGCCTTTGGTCATATTTTAAATTGTTGAAAATTGCCAGAGTCAAAACATACTATATCATCAGATCATTGGCAACAGAAAAAGGTGGTAAATTATCTTAAAATATTAAACCATCCCAAGTTATTAGTAACATTAGATCTAATATAATATTTAGGGAAGACTGTTGTTTTATCCATAATCATAAATTTCACTTCATTGAAAATTATAGAGACTTCACTAGAGCATAAAAATAATTTAAATACTAAACTAACATAATAACCTCAAAATAATGTTATATTCTAGGAACACAAATTTAAAATTATTTGTTTCCGTTTTCTTTCTTTAACCATTCATCAAATTTTATTATGATTACTCACTCTTTTTGGGTTTTTGGGTCCCTGATGAACTCAGTTCTATATTGTATGTCCAGTGTAATTGTTGGTAAAAAAATGTAAAAGGAAGACCAACTTAACAACCGCAAAGGTCAACAATTACACCAACATAAGTAAATGTTATTTCATTATTAACATTTTATTGTTTTTGTATTAAAATTTAAATCTACCTTTTACACAATACATTTAGTCACTGTATTTTTAGCAGTCTATGTAGGATTATATATGTTGAAAATTTTCTCTAATAATCAAGTGTAAATCAACCTACATGAGGTTGATTTACACTTGTTTATTGAAACTTAAAGAAATATTAAGAGATAATTTAATAATTCTGCCCACAGGGCATTATCTCCCTGTAGAGTGAGTTAATCTTCCCATTTTCTAAGTTAGAACATAAATAAAGGTGCTCAAGCTTTAATCATATCTATTACTTTAATATATCTCATGCTCTATAAATAAAGTAAACACAAGCTTGAATAGATAAATCATTTCATTCACCACACGGAAACCTAGCTAATTGTGCCAAGACTTCGCCCAATTATCATGCAAAGCAGGCCTCCGCTGCGTCTAATATTTTGATGCAACCATTAAAGTTCCGACAGTGACATCATGCCCTCAAATCGGCCGCCCGATTGTGTGAGTGACTCACACCAACACGAAGGCCGATAGGTACGCCGTTTGACCTCGCGTAATGCGGTGATAATAAATCGACGCTAATTTCCCATGCGATCCGTCCTACCAAAAAATGGGTATGGGTTCGGCTTAGGCGATGCGTTATAAAGTTATTAAAGTCGTTACGTTATGTTCTGCGTTTCGAGGGAATTCTTTTAGTTGTAAATGCTAACTGTAAAGTAATGTAAAAGCCTATATGCGGGCGCTTATAATTCAATATACTTGAGCAACCTGAGTACGACTTCGGTGCCGGCAACAATGAAATTAAGCTAAAAAGCTAACTGTAATATTTAGGACACATTTTTACACAACATTCTCTAGTCCCAAACTAAATAACGCTTGTATTATGGGTACCAGATAACTGATAAACATACAAAAACCTTATTTTTCTTTTAGAAATAAATACATATATATACAAGTGAAGTACCGAAACGCCGTAATCAAATGTTCTACTAGGAAGTTTCGGTACTAAGTTAAACGGAAGGTAAAGTTACTAAGTTATTAAAAACAAATGCAAAAAAGTTCACTTTGCGAAACAGGGAAACTCGTGCTTAAAATACCATGGAAGAACCTATACGGCGCGTCCGTGGAGGCGACAATAGAACGCCTCTTCCTGATCGTGAACCCCACCGCCGAGGTCAAGTATGATCCGGAGAAGGAGGAGAAGATGGCGTTGGCGGCCAAGCAGGCCGAACTGGCGAGAGTTGAAGAAGCGAAGAAGAAAGAAGCTTTGAAAGGTGACATCACTTTATTAACTTTATTTTTATTTTTAAATTAAAGGAGAACGAAAATGCAGTTTCCTACCGGTTCTTCTCTTGACAGGCATAAATTAGTGAACCGGTGATAGATTTGAGACAAGAAGAAGGTTTGCCTTTGGCTATAATTTTGTGTCAATGCCCTCGTATTCGCTTTCCCGTCGTAGCTAATGTAAGCTGAGACCTAGTAGAAATATAATTCCACACTAAAAATAGAGTTTGTAACGGACTACTATTTCTACAACCTCAGAGCAAACGAACGGATAGATGAAAACATTTTCTGTCACATATTTTAAACATATGTTTATTATTCTCTACTAAGGCAGTTTTGTTTTCTCTTACGTTCTTGCATTAAATTGAAATTGTTTTTGATGCTAACATTGCGTCTCATATTAATGTATTGAAGGTAAGTAGATAATGAACAAAAATTCCAGTTTTACAAAAGCATTGACCACTTGATTAAAACTTGTCCTCTTACTCGGAAATCAATCGCTTGAATAATGTCATGGTTTTGCATTTTGGAGAAAATAGTGTTTGTACTTTGGACCCCTAGACGTATTTTATTAACGGGTCCCAATTAATTATAAACAAATATTTTGTGAGAATTAAAAAAAATATTCTTAACACTGAAAAAAATCTAAATTATTATTCGATGAATTATTTTTCAGTATGATTTAATTTTTGTTTATAAAATCAGAGATCTAAAAAGTATACTACATTTAAATTTGTTTAAGTAGGCCCTAGAGATTACTAATTCGTTTATGCCATGTTGCCATGTTTCGTAAATTTATGGGCGCCTCATAAAATTCTGTTTACTATGTAACAAGTATAAAATCGCCGTATTTTTATCTTTTATCGGCTGCTTTAATGGAAGTTAACACACTTAAAGTAAAGCGTTTCATGTATATCCTATCGTATAACTATATTGTGACATGATATAGTTATTGCATTGCGAGACTGCCAACATATTTGCAAAGTTACTGATAGTGGCTGCACTTACAATCTAAAAGTAGACACATTGATAACGTCGCAAAAACACTATTATCTTTATTATCAATATATAATTTATACCTTTTTTGTTTTAAATATTTATGATGCCTTTATATCCGCTTGTTTTTTTAAATATATTATTTACGAACTTATAAAAAAAATTTTAAAAAATTTTCTAAATAGCTCTCCATTAATCTAGATTTTAATTTGAATAACTATTTGCACATACACGCATTCCAGGGTTGTTGTTCCTTATATTATAAACTTTTTGGTTACAAAGAACCACAAATAATCACTGTAGTTATTATGAAATTATTTATAACATCACAAGCTAACCGAAAAAAAATCTAGCGAGTTTTTTTAGGTTAGCTATGGGTTATTTATGTGAGAGCTCCTATGAATGAAGCTAATGCTAGAAACTAAGTCATACTTGAAAAGTCTCTTCATACGTGATGTTCAATCGGATGTCGCTTTAATTATAAATTAACTGGCATCAAATTCGTTCGTTTCGAAAGTAAGGACTTGTAAACTAATATTGATCTTTACTATATACATATGAACTATTTTATAATTGGTATTGGCTAGTTTTTTTTACGACCGGCCTGATGTCAACCCTCCTTAGGACCAAATACTTTGATATCCGAAACAATTATCTGTAACCTCGTACAAATACTTGTCTCGTGTCGGAATCGAACCCATGATCCTGATGCACGAGCGCTGCAGCCATTAGCGTAGGAACAGCGTCAACGATGCATCTAATGTTTATTAAATTTAAAATAATGTAAAAACTCATTTGATATATAAGAATGGATTGACCGATAATAGACGTTTCTTACACCCGGTTTCTGAAACACTGATCATCTTAGAAATTTACTAATCACCTGTCAAATGGCTTTTCAAATGTTGTATCATTTAAGTTGCCAAAAGGATGGTTAAATTTTTTGAATTGATCATTCTGATCTACGAATTTCTACGATTATCAGTGTTTTAGAAAACGGGCGTTAATGCGGTATGTGGGATCGTATGGTAGACAACTAACTTGTCTCTGTATTCGTCAACCACAGACATTTCTCGGCTAATTGACGCAATTTGCCTTTATATTACTCCAAATCCCCTGGGAGTCTTATGCTTAATGAATTGGTATTCCTTAACCACATTACAAGAGAGATACTCGGATATTGACGTGATCTGTCTTTTTACATTACTCTCAAAATACATGAGAAATCGCCGTAACAAAAGATCTCTATTATTTTATACATTTGGCATTGGTTTCCGTAGACGAGAACAAACTCGACGAGACGTTCGTCGAGAAACTGGTGACGCAGATAATAAAGAACGTTCAGCTGAAGATAAGCGACATCCACATAAGATACGAGGACAGCATAACCAACCCGAAGACGCCCTTCTCGTTCGGCATCACCCTGCACAACCTCTCCGTCCACACCACAGACGAGAACTGGAAGCAGACCGTCATCCAGGAGGCCGTCACGAAGATATTCAAGGTGACATCCCCCGAATAGGCTGTTTGTCTATTTTCCATCGAATTAAAAAAAGGTTCTCAATTCGGTTGTACGTTTTTATTTATTTTTGTTGCCACAGAACTCCGTCATTTTTTAACGTTGCCCTTTGTGTTGGATTAGACGTGGACAAAGACCCAGGGTACGAAATAATTAACAGTGGGTCACACAAATAGTTGTCCCGTGTGAAAATCGAACACAAAGCCACGGCGCCGAAGCCAATACACAACTGATTGACAACTGCTCCACGAAGTCATCAAATGAACCGATCTCAAAAATTATTTTTGGTTTGGGTATTATATGTATTTGTATTGGGGTTTTGCATGGTTTTTGCCATGGACTCCGGAGATACGTTGGGTGAATACTTAAAATCAAATAGAAATTGTAAAATTGGTGAGATATTAATTGAAGTCGGTTTTATTGTGGTAATAATAATGTACTTGTTATGTAAGGTGATTATCTTCTCCCATGGATTTATACAATACTAATCTCAACAATTATCGAACGTTTCCCAGCTACTATTGTCGCAAATTCCACATATCATTCGAAAATCTTGCCGTGAGAAATTCCACTTCACTATTTTATTTTCTTTTGATGAAGAATTACTTACTTATCAGTAGCAATTGTTCAAAATAGGTTATAATTATGTCTTTAACGCGTCTTTAACTTATAATTAATAATATTGCATGAAATAAAGTCCACACGAAAGACAAGTAAAAATACCAAGGAGCTTAAATCTTAAAAACATGTATCCAAATGCACTTAATAATGGTTACGATAAAAGCTTTTGTGGGAAATGTTTTGTAACATGTAACATGTAGTTATTACATATATAACGTATGTAGTTTGTAAGTATCCGTTATCTTTTTTTTATATATCTTTCTGTGAACCTACCTAATCTTCTCTGTACCACCCTAAGGTTGACTGGCATTAAGTGCTGCCTTTGTACTTTTTGCGAATAAGAGATTAATAAATAAATAAATAAATCTGTTCTTGTATTTGTTCGCAGATATTGAATTTGGAAGGCCTAGCGATCTATTGGAACCCGGCCACCGAACTCTATTCGAAGTCCGAACCGCAAGAAATCAAGACCAGATTGCACAATGAAATTGCTACGAAGTCATCCCAGCCGTTATCGTATAAATATGGTTAGTAGGCAATTGTGACGTAATGAAATTTGGCCCACGATTTAGGTCACGATCTAAATTTCGAGGATACGTATTCTGGTAATGTTCAAAAAGGGGAAACTATATATCCATGTCGTATAAAAGAATCATGGTAAACATTTCGCTGTCTCTAGCTGCTGATTTTATACCTAAATAAGTGTGTATATTTGTATTAAAAAAAAAATATATATAACAAAAAGAACAAGACCGCAGAGTTTCTTGCCGGTTCTTCTCTGTGCAGGTCTAGTTTAGTGAACCGGTGGTAGATTTTTTGTTGACGTTCAATAAGAGCTTAAGTTAGGCCTATATTGAATAAATATACTTTGACTCTAGATAGAAATTTGAAAATGTGTTTGTATAACTTGATTTTTTGCACCAACTGAGAATTGAACCTTTGTAAATATCGTAGGTCATCCCGTGTAATAGTGATGTCGTACCGTTTTTTATCGCTTTTATCGTATTATTTGTTGTAATTACTTTTTCTGTATGACGACTGTATGGTTATTTGCTAAGTTATGGTAATTTTAACTGTTGGATTGGTTATTAACGTTTGTATCCAACTGCATAGGTTTTCATATCTCATCAAGGATGTTATTTTTTTTTGTGAAAGTATTACAAATCATTATATTTATTTGCACGGTAGTCCTACGTTTTAGAGGTCACCTCACCGATTGCCGTGCCTCGTTCCGGCTTTAAACCTCTGGGGGCGAAAAAAAAAAGATTCTCTGAGTATGCGTGTGTTTTGTTTTCCTGATTTCGGGCCGTTTTCAAAGGAAAAAAAATTGAATTAAAAATAATTATTCATTAAATTGTTCTTGATCAAATATTTACAAGATTAAATCTATCTAAAATTACATATTGTTAAATGTTAATCGCCATTTCAATCTCTAGCATTGGGGCCAATAAACGCCACCGCCAAGCTGCAACTAAACCCGAAGCCGGAGGGCGATACGCCAAAGTTCAGCATACCCAAAGTGGTACTAGACCTGGATATGGAGCAGCTCTCCGTCAATCTGACTAAAGCGCAGTACCAAGACATGATGCTGTTGGCCGATTCTATGGACAGAATGAATAAAGGAGCACCCTATAGGTATTAATTTAATTTTGCCCCTCGTGACTTGCGTAACACTGTCTGAGCTGGCCAAGTATTTGGATGTCGAGATCGCTAGTTCTAATCCCAATGAGTTTTAAATAACTGTATAAGAAACTAGGTTACATGCGTATTTGGAATTTAAAGAATGCATGTATTTTATTGAAATATTTTTATAGTCAGTTCATGGCTCGGTGGGGGGGGGGGGGGGGGGGTCGTGGGTTCGATTCCCACACGGTATGGTATCGCTTGTCATTTCACAATTAATGAAATGACGCGCGAAATATATATATTATCGGTGTTGTCTTCTAGGAAATATCGTCCGGACCTTAAGAAGTATAAAGGCCACTATAAGGAGTGGTGGCGCTTCGCATACACCTGCGTACTGGAGGAGGAGGTGAGGAGGCGGCGCAGGAACTGGGACTGGACTCACATGCTGGGCCACCGGCAGCTCTGCAAGGACTACGCCAACGCGTATCAGTGCAAGCTTAGCAACAAGGGAAAAGTGAGCGCCGACCAGCAGAACTTGATCTGCCGCGCAGAGAAGACGCTGGACCTGCTCAACTTGGTCGTCATCAGGCAAAGGATAGAGATGGAGGTATTACAGATTGACTATTACGGTTATTTTACTGTGATAGGGCCACGTTATCACCCGCAAGGCCCGGAAGGCCGCGGGGAGACAAAGGGAGGCAACTGGCGCAGGGTGCAGGAGGCTTGCCTATGTGCGCAACCTTCCCCCTGATAGTGAGACCCCCAGTGGCAAGCATGGGGGCGTCTGCTGCTGTACATGGGGCTAGTTGCACCGGCACAGCACCATTTATGACCGATTCCTGTATTCAACGAACGGCCGTTAGTTACATAGCTTCGTAACTTTCATAACGACTTGTAGATGGCTGATGTGACAGAAACACGTGCAACGTGGGTTTTTTAGTGGGTACCCGTTACATACATACCCTGCCCCTCCCCCGATCCGGTGGCACGGGATCCATAAAAGATTTTTCCCACGTACACAAATACGCAACAGTCTTTACTGCTGCCCGAATTAGCCGGTCCGTCCGGGGAAGTACCACGACCTCACAGAAGCCCGGCGCGAAATGGATGTGTCATACTTCTGTGTGGTAGCCGGGGCCTACTTTATTAAAAGGTAATATCGCATCTGCAACCACAGGTGAACCGCCAGCTCGATTGCCATTTTCTAACATAAAAAAATTACGCTGTTTAATTGGTACTATTTCTTTATTATTTGCGTAACTATCTAAATAGTTCTTTCTAATGTTGTCGTGTTAAACGTAGATTTTGTATTTCTTCGGCGCGATTTTTCAGTGTGGTGTCTATACGAGACCTAAACTTTCAACATAATTACGAGTTATCATATTAGTCGTTTTAGTTTTAAGAGTGATGTATGGTGTGAATGTGATACTGTATCTTTTTCTTCTAACCGTGGTCTTAATCGTTTACCGTTGGTGTATAGGTAATGACGTCCTTATTCGGTTTGTGCAAAGGAAGTTACTATTTTTTTTAGTGTGTGCATGTTGCACACGACGTTACATGGGACCAAACCTACGGAGTGGCTCGAACTGTACGTAGTGTGAGTAGCGATTGCAACTTATAATCGATATATAAATAATAATGTCTATTATTTTTAATCCAGGTGGAGAGGCTTGGCAAGATGGAGGAAGAAGCGCGGAAGTCTCGCGGTTGGTTCGGCGGCTGGTGGTCAAGAGGCACCTCTAAGGATGAAGAACTCACAGAGGGAACTGCTATAAGTGAGTAAATTGTAGTTGTATATTTGTTTAAAAATACCTCTGACTCTGAAACAGTACAGTTTGTGCATCATACCCATATGTACTCGTCGGTCTCGGATCAATTAACCTGTTATGGTCTGTTGATTGCCATTATATGTTCACTGTAGCTATTACTCACCATTTGGTATGCCCATTTATTATCACCTTTACCACTTTGGTTATAAAAATAAAATGCTGCGGTTCCTGTATTAAAATATCTTGTTTCTAAAACCCTGTAGGTACGTATAAATAAGATATGAAGTAGAAGCGTATAAAAATTTTTTAAGGATTGTAAACGCATTTGATTAACACTAGAAGTATTACGGATATTCATGGGCGGCGGTTTTCATTTACACAGAAATCTCACTCGATGCTCATCTGAACAGCATCAAAGTCTGCACGATGTATAAGACGTGCTGATTGCGTTGTTGCCCATTGCAAGTTGTTCTCTGCGTCGCTTCCACTACCGTTTCATATACAGTGGCGAATGAAGTGGTTATTCGGTCTTGCAGCCATAGTTTTTAAGATAGATGTTAGTTTAGCATATAGCATTTGCACTAGAAACTCAAATGCAAATGTCAATGGGCATTGCCACCTTTGCTCATAAAAAACATTGCCCGCAGTGAAGCAGTTCGAGAAGGCGATGACGGCGGAGGAGAAGGAGAAGCTGTTCCGCGCGATCGACTACCAGGAGAACACGGCGCCGCTGCACCTGCCCGCCGCGTACGTGGCCCTCGAGGCGCACTTCCGCCTGCAGCGGCTGCGGCTCGCCGTCGCCGACAGGGCGGACGTGCTGCAGGCCAGCCTCGACCGCGTGCGCCTCGACGCCGCACAGCGCCCGGGCGCCAACGCGCTCAGGTGCGTCTCTCTCTCTCTCTCTCTTTCTCTCTCTCTCTCTCAAAGTACACATACGCCCAGGTGCGTCTCTCTGTCTCTCTCTCTCTCCCTCTCTCCCTCTCTCTCTCACCCTATCTCTATCTCTCTATCTTTCGACGGCCCGAATGGCGTTGTGGGTAGTGTACCTGCCTCCCGCGCCGGAGGGTGTGGGTTCGATACCCACTACTGGAAAAAATATAGTGTGATAAACATAGTGTTTTTTCTAGTGTCTGGGTGTTTATATATATATATATATATATATATATATATATATATTACCATTGTCAATTGCATGTAATGTCTTTATTCACAAGCAACAAGCACACGGGATAAAACTATATTAGTCATTTTTATTTTGTTACATTAGCTTAGAAGTATAACTTGTTACATGTGTACATAAGTACACATACACGTTTTTTTATTTATTTGAATAGCTCTGTCCTTATTCTAGGATAACATGCCCAAATCTTAATCGTCTATCTATGGATGACACAAGTTGTTGTCCCATTTAAGAATCGAGCCCACGACCTCCGGCGCTGAAGCCAATTCCTTGGCAACTGCGCCGTCATCATTGTACCTTCTTCAAAAGAGGAGGAGGTTCTCAATTACTCCTCTCGTTCTCCTCTCGCTTCCCTGCAATTAGATTTCGTGATAAGGGACGGAAGTGTGTAACGGGAAGTCTGAGAAGCTCGCCTTATTTGATTGAAACAATAAGTGCGCGTGGTGATAGTTAGCCGTCAGATGGTACTGACCCAATGGTACTAACCCATTTTACGAGAGGTTGGAACTGTTAGGCATTAGCTGTGCGCTTAAACTATAATGATGCATTTAAAGTACACAACACTAATAATAATTAATAAGTATTTACTGTTGATAATAGGGGTCTGAGAATAATGCACATCGTCCTTGAGATTTAAGAAGGATTTAATCAACAGTTTTTGCTCTTTTAATTTGGGATATTATTTGGGAATTGAGTTATTTTACCCTAAGGTATCACGATAATATTTATTTTATTTATTTATTTAAACTTTTTGCACAAACATTTGTGTACAAAGGCGGACTTAATGCCATCAGCATTATCTCCCAGTCAACCTTGGGGTGGTCCAGAAAAGTTAGGGTAGGTGCATTAATAACAAATTTACAACAACAGAAAAAAAAAATAAACCAATCAAAAGATTTTCCAATATGTACATTACATATGAAATCTACCAACAAAATACTACACTAATAATATCTGATAAAAATTATACAATACCATACATATATATAAAATAAAGTAAACATATTAAAGCACGATGCATACACATATACACGAAGACTTACATACTCATATTTTATAAATAAATAAATATAATATATACATACTTTATATTATATTTAAACGATTCAGAGAATCTGCTGACAGTTTTTTAAGGAAGTGCTCGCGAGTTTTCCTTTTAAATGCGGAGCGACTTTTAGCAGTCTTGATTTTGAGAGGCAGCGCGTTCCACAAAATAATGGACTGAACAAAGAAAGACGAGTGCATGAAACCAGTACGATGAGAAGGACATTGGAGAAGATGGTTATGTGTCGAGCGAAGATTTTTATGATGGATTGTACTAAGATATTGAAAATGAGACGATAAATAAGATGGAGTAGAAGAAGATATTTAAAAAAGAATAAAGAGTGGTTAGTGCTCTTAAGGAGCGGCGTTGGCGAATGGGTAACCACTGAAGTTGGGAACGATAGTGAGACACATGGTCATACTTACGAAGATTGAAAATGAATCGAATGCAGTTATTCAGAAGACGGTCTAGTTTATTGAGGTGATCTGCATTCAGGTCAAAGTAGCACACGTCGCCATAGTCGATTAAAGGAAGGATTAAGGACTGCACGAGCGTAGCTTTAGTTTTAGATGGTAAAAAATGTTTAAGTCTGTATAGGCAACGTAGAAACACTTGTGACCCTCTGACTGACACTGGCGATTTGGTCTTTCCAGCTCAGGGTCATATCGATAAGCAAACCAAGGTTTTTCACATTCTGGCTTATGGGGATCGTAGAGTTGTTGAATATTATTGGTGGAAGATTGCCTAAATGTACTTGATTTATAATACGACAACTCCCAAGATAATATTAATGATTATTTTAATAAAAATGAAAAAGGATTTGAAAAATAACTTTCTTCTCCATCTTCCAGGGTCGACATACAAATGCAGTCCTTCACGGTTGCGGGCGTGAAACAGGGCGAGTTCGAGCCCCAATTGGTGACGTCGCAAGAAGTCAACGAGAACGTAAACCTCTTAAATGTTGTGTTCGAGACAAATCCCTTGGGTAAATATTTGTCATAACCTGAATATACTATTATTTTTTAAAAGATGCCGCCGATAAGGTATTTCGCGTGAAGTTGAGTTATTGTCCCCACCCATGGGCATATATGACCCTCATGGAATTATAGATGCATTGACAACCCTATAAAGTAGGCCCCGTTCAACTGCCTCACCAGACGAAACGCAAAAGTACTTCCACTTTACGCCGACCGTCTGTGAGCCTCTGCATTAAGAAGACAGCAGAAGCTGCTGTGTGGCCCCACCCTAGTAAAAGCAATGTCAAATCGTTATTTTTATTTAAAATCCCATAGTTTAGGCAATCGTTAAATTAGTAATTTTGTTTCAGATGGTAAATGTGACCAGCGCGTGAAAGTGTTGGCTCAGCCGCTTCAAATTGTTTATGATGCACAAACTGTTATTGAAATCGTAAATGTCTTCAAACCACCCACGGAATCCACTGCCTTGACCACGTAAGTATTATTTTGTATGACACTAAATTTTATAATAAGCTCTGAATAATTCGACATTTTATTGCTTTTTTTCCATATTTGAAATGTTTCTTATAACTCCCTTTTGAAAAACTTTTTGTGAAAATATCAAAATTGCTTTTCTAATCAATATCTAATTATGTTATAATGTAATTAATATTATGTTCTAGTTTGCAAGCCGCAGCAGAAAACAAACTATCAGACCTTAAAGAAAAATCTGCCCTGGGTATGCAATATGCAGTGCACAATCACACGTTCATAGATTTGGATATAGACATTGCAGCTTCATACATTATTGTACCACAAACCGGAGTATACACAGGGTAAGCGATTGAATGCTGACGATATAAAACCTATTTGTTGGAAGAACCCCAAAGGCCATTTCATTAGATATATTATATACATGTGCTGATATGCTGCTGTATACAAAAATTCCCGAAAAAGTTTATAAAGCTAAAACCCTGAATCCCCTTTTAAGAATTTTGAATAAAATGTTTAAAAAAACATCAATTAAAGTAAATTGAAAAATTTATCGTTTACATGCATACTGTCAATGAAAAATACATATAAGCAAATAAAAAAAAAAATGCATAAAATGACTAATACCGGAATAAAATAGTTTGCGCTAGCTGCCGCGTGCCTGGCCCTCTCGCATCAATCGCTTATACGTAGTGTCAGCAGCGTCTGGCCGTTTTGTTCTTTATTCTTTTCTTAATTATTAGTTTATTAACTTTATTTGTTTCATCTGTGACATTAGCAAGGAAACTTTTAATGCCGTAACTATCGAGTTATGGAGAAAAGTTGCCCGAAACGGGAAATATTTTTTTGGGTTGTGACGAGTCTTTCGAGTTTCGATACAAATATCACTAACTGATTTATCGGTTGAAAGCGAGGATATTATTATGTCCCACTACCTATAAATAATTTCGATTTATTTCTTTATCTGTTGACCATACACTACTACAAATGTAAACAAAACGTCCCCTACTTAGTATTTGACTCATCTATAACAAGCAAACTATTTCACAGAGCAAAGAATCTCATCCAAGAATTTAATATTGACAGAATGAATCTGAGAAGAATAATTCATTATAATAAATGAATTGCGACGTTTCAGCAATGAAGCATGCGTGGTGGTGAAACTGGGTGCTATAAGTGTGAAGTCGGAACCTCGCTCCGAGGCTTTGGACGTCCACAAACTGCATAAAGAGGGGCTCGCAGACGAAGACATATTGCGAGAGATAGCCAACCACAGCTACGATAAGATGGCGCTCAAGTTAACTGAAATGCAGGTATGTTAGTTTCCATTAGTACATCTCATTGTGGGGCCATGGAACAGTTTATGATGCTAATTGAATAGGCCAACTGCGTCGGAAAACCGGCGTTAAGTGACATTGATAGCTTTTGTTATCGGTTTTTAATTCGGTAATAGAATCGATAACTCCGGTTTCCGACGGTTAATCAGAACCAGAACCTCTATCCTCACAGAGGGTATTCAAATGTTGTGACAGATTTGCATGTTGGTGACGGATAGCATCAATTTAGATGCTGCATTTTATGTCCTCATTTAAATATAGATAAATAAGTTTTAAAGTAGTTTGATAGGATTTAAATTCAATATAACTATACAGCGTGTCGTTACCAACGCGACAATAAATGAACACACATATAGAGGATACATTTTTAAAATTGTATTAAACATTTACATTCTTCAACCATCAATATTTACAGAGTTATTAAATTTTCCAAAACAAACAATTTTAGAACACCCTTAAATAAAACTGTAACGTAAAGTTCATTTGTAAAGGTCACAAAGCATATGAATGGGTTGAATGAATTTAAAAGAGACAAAACATATTGTTAGAAGGAGAGGCTTGTAATGCGACGCTGTGGCGCGAGTTGTATAGGTGTTACAAATTTTGTTTCTTTTTTACTTAATTAGTTTGTTTGAAAAAAATTTTTTTTAATTATGGATTTTGTTTAACGTTAATATTTTTTTATGATATTGGCAAGTAGTGTTAGACGTGTGTTCATTTATTGTCGCGATGGTAACGACAGGCTGTATATGTATACAATAACATATTATTTATGAAATCTTTTTTCAAAATAATTAGTTTTTGTCAAGTGGATTTTTGATAATAATTATTAAAATTAGTATTCTTTAAATAAAATGCTTGTCAATGTGTTATCAAATGTCATGAAGATTGTGAATGCGACTGATCCTCTAATAATGGTTGTATGGAGAAAACCTAAGCCATTAAAGTAACAGCCCATATATGTCCCACTGGTGGGCAAAGGCCTCTTCTGTATAGTAGGGTATAAGGGCATAGTCCACCACGGGACTCCACTGCGTATTGGTTGACATCACATATCTTCGAAATATTTTTTCCGAAATAGGTTTCCTCACGACGTTTAAAACAAAATATCGCTGTTAGATCATCAATCACGATGTTCATAAACGTACTTTTCCGTCGCCCCCAGATCGTGGTTGCCACGCCGAGCGAAGGGTGGCACTCCGCCATCGCGTCCGACGTGGGCACGCCGCTGCATTTGTTGCAGCCCACCAATCTGGTGATACAAATCCACAAGTGCCTCATCACAGACGACCCGCGAATGCCCAAAGTGAAGGTGCGCGGGGAGCTGGAGAAGATCGCCATTAGCGTTTCCGAGGATAGGTGAGTTAGTTTCAACAAATTAGACTGTGTTTTGAAGACTTAGTGACTTAATTTTGCTGTCTTTTCAATGTATAGTTAATTTTAATCTGCGAGTCATGTAAATGTTTGAACCTTTCGGTTGCATAAATAATTTGAACTTCGCATTATTGTCAAGTTTTTACGTCCCCTACCATTGAAATTGACGTTTTTGATTTCTTGTACCGGCTAGTGTGAAAATATATTTAATTTAACTTAGAGGTTCCAGTAAATTACTTTTACAATATAACTATCACATTGCTTTTGCGAAATCTGTTCCTTTGACCGTGGAGAAATCGAAATTGCGCTTTATTTTCGCATATGAATTTCGAAAAAAGTAGCAGAGACTACATCCAAATCTATGAGTAACGTACCACTGAACAACAAAGAAACGGTCACGTATCTTGTCACAACTTGTTGAACAGACACATAGATGATCTGATCCTGAAATTCCATGATCACTTGTAAAAAGCGATCGAAAACGTCCTGCACATTTTTAAGACACAAGGGTTAATTGTGTACCAACTATGGTACAGTTTAACTCGTTACAGTTTCTTGACGGAATAACAATTACTACTATTGTGTACTGTGAAGATTTGTAAATGATGATCACAGGCTTTCCTTTCAATCTGCTGAGAGTTCTCATAAGCCCAAGTAGTGGTGAAAATCTCAAAACTACTAGATTTATAACCGATAACTCTGCGCCGAGGACATAACATCCCAATTAAATAAACCTTTATTAATTAAATGTACTTACTCATCTCTTGTAATAAAATAATGTTTGATTTTTTTCTCATAAAACGCCTATTTCATAGGTAAAGAAAGAAGCACTACAACATAACGTTATTTTGATGTGCTAATTTATTGTCGTCCATTTCGTTGTTTTCAGATTGCTTACGTTGTGCGAAATATTAGTAAGCATGCCTTTACCGCAATCCGAAGAAGCGACGCAATTAAAGGTAGGTACTGTTTTATGATATTCATCATATAATTTCCATTCTTTTATGTTATGTATTTTTTATTATTTTTAATTTTACTTTCTTCCAAAGATCTTTTGCTACAAGTTTGCATATACCGTGAGTGGTCGTGTTCTTGAATTTCCTCTCTTTACGGACGTAAATGCGGAAGAATTCACGGTAACTTAGCTGTGACTAAACCACCACTTCCATTAGATGTATTAGCTGTTATTTTTGAAGGGTATTTAAATATTTATAGTTCAATAGGTAGTTGTATTAGCATTTCGAAAATACCTTTGCGGTATTTAAACGTAACATTTTATTTATTAGTTGTTAGTATTTATTATTATCGTGTACAATTTTGAGCAAAATATCTTTTAAAGAATCAGGGTTATTTTAATTTGGTGTTACTTCCTTAGAATTTATTAGTTTGTTAATTATAACATAGTAAATAATAATATTAGTTTAAGTATTAATTTTATTTTAAGTCGTATTCTTTACACACAAGATAAAACTTCAAATGTGAATTTTTTGTAGAATTCATATAGTAAAGTAAAAAAATATTTTTTTTACATATAATTCGAATAAATATGTGTAAAGTGTAAGTGTAATGTTTCTTCGTAGGCAAGTGATTCTAAGGCGTCAAGCTTATCGCTTCTAAAGTATTTGGATCCAGCGGAAAAACAAAGGAGGGATATTGCACGCTCTAAACAAAGAAAAGATGACGAGCAAATTGTACAACTCACCGAAGTGGAAGCTTTCTTTATAATGAAAGGCAAGGAATAATATTGTTTATTTTTGTTATTTTTATTTTCTTACTGATAGTGTCTGGACTTAAGATGAGATTTAAAATATGTATCTAGATGAATTGACTAAAAATTTAGGCAAGAATCTAAGTTTGTCATTTATTGAAATAAGACATTAATTAATTGTATTAACGCGTATACTAAACTATTTCAATCTAATCAAATCACAAATGAGAATCAATGAGATTATAATTATATCCTTGAAGTAAAGTAGTTGTCGGAGAAAGTTGATATATATGGGAGTTATCATTCAAAATAAGTGTGTCATAATCAAAGGCGTGTGTAAAATTTCTTTTTTACCAAAAAAAGGCACATTTTATAGTGGTAGCAAGCATGTAAAAAAAAAATTGAAAAACCTAATATTAATTAATTCAATAACAACAAATTATTGTACTTTTAATGTTTACAATATGAAAAAGTTTATAGTACAGATTTCGTACAACTTGCAACTGCGTAATCGTTAACTGTCGCGCAACATTACCCCAATGACGTCACGGTCATGTTCGCCCGCAGAGCTGGTGCTCAGCGTGAACCGCAAGCCCTCGGGCCCCGGCGGCGGCTACGACCGGTTCCTCGTGTTCTCGCTGCGCCAGCTCGAGCTGCGCGCCACCCAGAAGACGTTCACGCTCGAGGCGGGCGTCAGGCTCGGCGGCGTCAGCATGCGCCACCACCGCGCCGGCTTCCGCGCCATCGCGATGCTCGACACGCTCGACGTGACCGACGTCGCCGACGTGACAGACTCGCCCGTCACGCCCGTCACGTCCGTCACGCCGGTCACGCCCGCCGCGCCGGACCAGTCGGACGTCGCGTTCGACATGCCCTCCGGCGCCAACGCCCGCTACCTGTTCGCTGTCACATATCGCAATGTGAGTGCTTCTTCCGATGGAGTGCAATGTCAGCAGATGCAAACGGACAGGGGATTCACCCGGTGTTTTGTGATTATCGCCTTCCCATCCCCCCCATGGAAAAATCCAACACCCGTGGCGTACGCTGGTCTTCGTTGGTGCTGTGATACTACTCCGGTTTAGCTGGCCTATTTTTATAAAGGAGGCTTCTAGGGAGGGTGTATCAAAGTAAAAATTAAAGCTTGTTTTTCCTTATACAATAAAATTGATACACTCAGGCATACTGCTGTTGATTTAATTGAACTTCTGTTTTCGTCAGACTGTGTTAATTTATTGACACCACACGATATAGTTGATATAATAATAAAATATAAATTTTGAGTAGTAATTAATTCGATTTCCCGAGATGAAAATCTTCGACTAAATACTCAATTAATTATAATTATTCTTCTATATCGTGTTTCTGTTTTAAGGTCGACAAGAAATGCCCAGAATTCAGAAGTCACTATGGTTCCATCGAGCAATTGATTGAGCTCGATTTCACAACCCTTAGAGTTTTGCTACATCTTCAAGGTTTGCAGGAAATACTCGTAGTTGTCAACGAGTATCAGGTATGAGTTTTTATTTATTATATCACTAACAAATGTCAATGTTATAAAGTGAAATAAATTAATCGTATTTTTATTCCATCCATAGACACGTTTGCAAGCTATCCAAAGCAAAGTTGACAGATACGCGAATGCTGGTCCTTTGCAAACTATTATGGAGGATGAGGAGTTCTCCGTTGCTAAATCAAAAGGTAGATAAAGTTTTTCTACAATAATAGTATAAACTGGTGACGCAAGGTGTAACGTATTTTCTTAACTAGAACAGTCTGTCTATATTTCGAAGATTGCTTACGATATTATTTTGGGTGCAAAACGAGAAGACGCAGGTTCGAATCCCGCAGCGCCGAAAGATTTTCTACAAAAATCGATTTTTTCTATAAAATATTATTTAAAGTTTTTAAAAACGCAATAAACCAGAATTGTAATTTCCATGTATAGTTTTTTTTTAATTATATTCTTGCAGTTTCGCTTGCATAATTGTCATTTCTATCTATAGTTTGTTTTTAATTATTTCCCGCAGCCAGCGTCACAAAAACGGCGCGCCGTAAGCAAGTGGAGAGCATACAATTGAAAATCAACGTTAAGATCGGCGCCGTAGAGATCGGATTCGAAACTGACAAGCGTCCGCTGTCCAACGTCAAGCTGCAGGGCGCCGCCGCTGGTTTGGTGCTGAAGAGCTCCTATACTCAAGTAGACTGCACGATTGCCACCATCAAAGTGGAGGATTTGAACCCGGAGACGGTTCATAAAGAGGTAATTTATGACGTCATATGGGTCTCGAGACAAAGAAGAAAGGGACAATCGGCTAGTCGGAATTTCTTTCTATTTCGTCCCTATTGTTTTATCTGTGTATTAAAATTCTTTGAACCTTTAGTAATTATTTCTATGCGATATTTGTGTGCGAAAAGACTCCGCGACTTCAGCCCACTCACATAAAACTCTTAACAAAAAGATTCATTTACGCAACCAATTTACCAGGCTGTTCGCAACTAAAGTGTTGGAGAGAGAAAAGAAATAATTTAAACTTCGGTGGGAAAGAGATGGCAATACTCTGCTTATGGCTTCTGTCTGGGGAAGTACCACTGCCTCACAGGAGACTATGTACTCACATAAAAAGTATAAATAAGCTGTATTTACCTATTGCGTTACACCACTCCAATAGAATTTTTGGAAAAATTCCATTCCATAGAGCGCTCGGTACAGAATTTGAGTATCATAATTATGCCTCTGCCTATAGTGCTATTTCAACAAATTGACAAAGAAATGGTTCCTTGTGAATGTGTTAAAATAGCACTATAGGCAGCATTTTACTTTTTTATTTGATATAATTATAGTATTTAATAAATAATAAAATAGTCCTGTACAGTTTCTTTACAACTTTGTTTGACGACAGATTTTGAAAGTTCTCGGCGGGGATGTCATCAACGTACAAATAGTGATGTACAATCTGGACCAGTATCCGACCGTGAGCGATGTCAACATGTCGATAGACGCACAAATTAACTGTTTGCGTATCGTCTTCCTCAACTGGTTCGTCACGTCCATGTTGGTGAGTTAATACGTTGGGCTGTAATAGTATAATATGTAGGAGACTAACACCCAGTTTCCGAAAGCGCAATCAATTTTAATTTACGATAAATCTCTTGTCAATGGCTGTTTAACATGATCTGAGTTGCTAGAACGTCTTAAACAACATTGATTTTGATTTGCAATTAGTCACTGATTAACGGACAATCAACAGAAAATCAAGTTTCTGAAAGCGTTTTTCGGTGGTCAAAGAGCTGTCAAAAGTTTTATTAAGTAATCTGTCAATTTGGACGATCAATCGTTGGTTTAAAATGTTATTTATCAAAAATCTTAGTTTTTATTAAAAATAAACATAATTCCCTAATACGTTGTTAGGACATTCATGTGTTCTATTATCTATTTATTATTTATTATTATGCGAACATATCATGTGATTAGAAAAAATACAAAATGCAATTCAAAAGTTAATAAATAATATGGATTCTTTCTTTTTATAATACTTACTTGTTTATTATTGATAAAAGTTCATTTTTTTTCACGTTCTGTTAAGTATTTTTTTTGACATTTTGCATGTATTTATATAAATTAAATTTTATTATAGCTCGGATTTTTACGTTGGCAATCACACGGTGACAGGACTGGATAGTGACGTTAATTTAAGTTTTGTTTAAAAGGGACAGCTATACAATAGAAAGAGTTGAAGTAAATCATTCATTTCATTCATTATCATTGGTTATACAGTGATTAGCTAATTTTTCTTGAACAAACCTTCCAGAAACCCAAGGGAGTTTAACAAGAGATTAACAGCTGATCATTTTTGACATAGTGTTATGTGATTGCTGCTTTGATTGGCCTTTCGGAAACTGGGCATAAGACTAATGAAGGATGTAAAGACATAATATAATCCAATTGACAAAAAGAGGGTGGCAAATTGCTCTTGAATTAATCTTTGATACTTTGCTTAGGAGTTGTGATATAATTATATTCAGCACACAATAGCTTGTTTGTGTATCTTGAGGCATTGTATTTGGATACAAGCAAATTTTCTCATCCGAGTGGTTACATTTTTAAGTTATTCGGTATGTCTCAAAATGGATAAAAACTTATTTAGAAATATTTTATTACATTACATTTATGTACGTCATCCTTGTTCAGTATGGACGTGAAGTAAGGACCTTCTTTTGATCGATATGAGTATTTTTCTTAGTTATATAATTATGCTATTTATATTACTTTGTATCTCGAAAACATTATTAGTAAGAATATGCTATTCTTACGTAACTCAATTTGTTTTTGTTTCTAAAATGTTCGAAAAACTTCGCAATTCAGTCAATCGGTCGACGTTACAACAACGAACATAGCCACGCTGATAGGAAATGTTAAACAACTTCCTATGTTTTTGAAAAAAAAAAAGCCATTGAAAGCAATTGATAACGGTTTAATTGAACAATTTGGAATTATATATCATCATCATCATCATCATCATTTCAGCCTGTTTGAGTCCACTGCTGAACATAGGCCTCCCCCATAAATTATATATAAAATGTCTAAAAGTTGTTATCGGTTGCCATGGTAAGACCGATGTCACGCATCGTAAAAGTTCGCCCTCATCGCGTGTTCATTCACTCCATAGTGCTAAACCGAGGGACGCACCCTGCCCGCAGGAGTTCCTGAACAACTTCCAGAGCGCGCAGCAGGCGATCATCGAGGCGTCGTCGGTGGCGGCGGACGCGGCGCGCGCCAACGTGCAGACCGCCTACCAGAGCCTCACGAAGCTGTCGCTGAAGGTGCGCCTGGCCGCGCCGCTCATCCTTCTGCCCGAGAACTCGGCCAGCCGCAGCGCGGTGCTCGTCGACCTGGGCCGCATGACGCTCAACAACAAGTTCGTCGACCTCGCCGTCGCGGTGAGACAAACCTTTCTTTTTTTTTTCTTTGCGTGGGAAAAATTCTTTTAACGGTGTGCGTGCGGATCGGGGAAGTCCCCGTCGGAAACGGTACGGAAAATCTTGAGCGTCGGACACTCGGTGTGCTACCCGTTTAACGAACAATCTAGAACGACAACATAACATGGACATTAATACATGCTCGTGTACCTCGACCGCAAGACTCAACAAGTTCATTGACCGCCGTCGCGGTGAGACACCCCGTTTTTTTATTTTGCGCGGGAAACTTCCTTTATGGATTCTCTGGCAACGGATCGGGGGAGCCGGTAGTATGTGGGAGTCCCGGTCAAAAATGGGCACAGAAAAAAACCCCGTTGCACCTGTCTCTGTCACGTTGGCCGGCGGCGTCAGGGGACCGATAAGCTTTTTTGGGCAATTTTAATAACAATATAAAAATATAAATAGATAATTCTAAATCTGAATCTGTAACCTTAAGGATATGTATAGACACTAACACAACAGAAATTAGCGTTCTCTACGAAATTATGTATATAGTCACTTTATTTTATTTTTTATGATAATTTAAATATTAGGATGTAAGATAATTTAAAATGAGCGCTAATAATTTTTATTTTTTAAACTTTATAATAAATAAATATTGATATTTTAAAATTTGTTACAGTAATATTTATTTTGGATATTAATGTATAATGGATAGGGACTATGATGTAAAAAAAATTTAAATCTTTCTATTTTTCTTATCAACAGAATGACGACAACAAAGTGACAGTGGACGAATTGATGCTAGAGCTGGAAGATATGAAACTCTCCTGTGTCGAGCTCAAGGAGAACTATCAGGATGTAGCACACGAACGCAAACTGTTGCGACCGACCAGCTTCAAGCTGTTTGTCAAACGGAACCTGTCTCAGTGGTACGAAACTCTGCCGGACTTAGACATATCCGGAAGGATGAAGACCATTGCCGTGAGTTTAACATTATTAATTTTTTTGGTAGTAATGTTTTAGTAGTGTTTTTATAATGGGAGAAGGTGACAAATACACCGGTTGGTCCCGTGATGGCTGATTCAGAACAGTGTTTTGCAGTTGCATTGCCTATTTCTTGTTCTTTTATTCAGCAGGTGGATAACTAATTTTATTTTACTTCAACTTTCTGCAAGGCCGTGCGACCTTCGCGTACGAGTTTATTATTACAACAACAGAAGCAAGTTGTTCAAGTAATTGATAACAATAACAGCACTGAAGCTATTTATTTTTTTAATTAATAATAAAATTTTTGTGACTGTCTGTGTACATGTTTTCGAAATATTTCTGCTCTTTTCAGATCACAGTGGGCCACAGCGATTACAAGAGTATCATGAGGATTCTGAATCAAAACCTCCAAGAGGGGCAGCGGAAAGCCGAAGAGACGAAGGCCGCACAGAACGTGACCAAAGCCACTTCGAAGGCGGCGGTGAAGAGCCAAGTGAGCAAAGCGCAGGTCAGGGCCGTCTCCACGCCCACCGAGGACAAGAAGCCCAGGACCACCATCAAATTCGCCTTCACGATGGACAGCTTCGTCATCGACCTGCTGAACAATGCCCCCGTGAGTATTGGCAGTTTTTTTTTTATTTATGGTTGCTGTGGTTCATAGTCAGTGGTTTACGGCCGACGCGGTTGTCAATTGAGACTTAATCTGCGTTGTATTATTTGCATTATAAAGTTAAATCTCAAATATTAATGAATCTTTTTGATTCAGTAACTATATTATATTTTAACTATAATAATAATTAACACATATTTTTTGTAGATAAAAGAACCATTTAAAATTTCACCTCAAGTGCAGAGATTAGCACTAAAAGTAAAAGTCAACCTTACAACATTTTAAGACCAATGGCGACAAATGTCATTTGCATCGTGTTGTATACCGTAAAGGCTGCATACTAGATGACGCCAAACATTGCTAAAGATGCAATAGATCGAATGTAGATCGATGTCAAGATTTCCGCCGTGTGGTCATCGATAAGCCGATGTTTAGTTGGTAAATAGTGGGCGCGAAAGCGAAAGACGCAGGTTCGAATCCCGCAGCGCCGAAAGTTTTTGTTCATTTATTTAGAAAAGTTTACAATTTAAAGTTTCATCTCGAGTGCGGAGACTTAAATAAAAATTAATCTTAGAAAATATATGCTAACTACTTGACTAAATGAAAATAATAATAACCTGGTCCGCGTTGGGTATTATATTGCACTAGCGACCCGCCACGGCTTCGCACGGGTGCAATGCTAAATGTTTGTTATCAGTGTTTCTCTACTATATTATACATACAAACCTTCCTCTTATTCTAAGATCTAAGATCTTCCTAGATCGAAGCATATATAGGGACAGACAGACAGCGCGGCGACTTTGTTTTATACTATGTAGTGATGCGTTATTCGTTTCACAGTTGGAGAGCGTCACTGGCGATAGGGACGTGGAGTTGGCGCGCTTCTGCCTCGCACTGCTCTCGGTGAAGGGGCGAATGTTCTCCGACGGCTCGATGCACACCTCGCTGCTGCTGGTGGACTGCACCCTGGACGACACCCGCCCCGGCAGAGGCGCCAAGATCACGCGGTACTCTCCTTTTTTTTTTGGCTAGATGAGCCACTGGTGGCCTTAGGGGCCTTTACAGTTCCGACGGACTTGAGGTCGATACTCCCCGAGTAGACTCAGGGTAGAGTACTATTGTACACTCTACTGAGTCTCTAGAGAAAAGTACGTAAAGTTCGTCGCCGCTGTGGGAATGGAACCCACGCCTTCGGGATTCGCGCTTTGACCCTTTAGCCACTAAGCTAAACGCTTTAGCCACTAAGCTAAACGCTTTAGCCACTAAGCTGATTGCCAAACCGATGAAAATCTTAACTCTTTTATCTACATTGTTTTTTAAGGGTTTCATAGGGTTTTATTTATATGGAAAAGAAGGCGAACGACTATAAGCTTTTGCATCTTAGTCAATTGGTAGACAAGGATGACCAAGCTTAGCAAAATTATCTCATGTCCATTATGTCAGCGCGTCTGTTGTGATTTAAATGTTGTTATTGTTAGAGCTAGTAGTTTTTTCACGTAAGAAATCAGACTTATTATCTGTACGGAAAATTCATAAGCGCTCTGTTATGTGATTCGACTATGCTCCACAATGTCAGAAACTAAATCTTAAATTGTTCTCACAAATGTTATCTTAATTTTCTAATGTGTGTAAGAAAACTGAGTTAACTATGATACAAATTTAACGATTAATTAAAATTGTGTTGCGGTACAGTGCATTTAATTAATAAACAAAAGAAAGTGGAATCTGTAAAGGGTGCACACTAGTTCGTGCTAAGCGTTGGTAAAAATGCAATAGAACGAAAATTTTTGTCCGTTTATCTACAAAAGTTTACAATCAATGGTCCTGTTAAAAACTATAGTTATTAATCATGAAACCTATAGTATTGTACAATTTAAACTGGACATACATATCTTATTTTTATGTAATGTAATGATCTGCTTAAGGTATCTCGAGCGACGGCGCGATAAGCAAGACAGTTTTCTCGACGAAACCGAAGATCTTAGTTCAGTTATGGAGGCCAACGACAAAATACGAAGCATGATCGATATCACCTACACTATGAAGAATTCTGATACATTCAGTGAGTTATTACTATTAAAATAAGCATTCCCGCTCTTTGCTGCCATCAAGCAAAGCAGCACCTTAAGTTTTACACTAATAGTTTAATTGCCTTTTTTGTACCCTAATATACAAGCAACAACTTCATTAGGAATACATTAGCAAGAGATAGTTTGTAAAAGAGATTATCTCACTATAAACTTTCTTTCACTGGCTACTCTTATGTACTTAATGTAATGGAAATTATGCTAATTTTATTTTAAGTACCCAGAGGACCGAGCTTTGCTCGGTTTGTTTTTTTTTTTTTTTTTTTTGGTAAATCGTGTATTTTGGAAATTACATTTAGATACAAATTACTGAGTAATGAAATATGCATAATATGTTTCGATCTTACCGACCTAATAATAAGAAAATATGAAGTGGTGTTTTTCACAAAAGAACTTTAAAAGAACTTTAGAACAACTTTAAAAAAAGGGAAAAAAATAACAAAATTCTCTGGATCAACAAAAATAAAAAATAAAGAAAGCAATGGCCTGGAATCAAAAAAAAAAGGAAAAAAAAAGTGTGCAAATGATCGTGACACGAACCACGGCCGTCTGTTTTGGGGCCGCCCGATTACCGACCGAGCTATTATGACATTTTCTCTTGCGGCGAAATTTACCGTCATATTCGAATGATATTTTTCATTTCGTGAAAACAGGGATAAAAGGACATTTTCTAAAAATGAAACCTAGCTAGATCGATTTTTCGTCCCCGAATTTACGCACATACTAAATTTCATGAAAATCGCTGGAGCCCTTTCCGAGATTCAGATTATATATATATATATATATATATATGTACAAGAATTGCTCGTTTAAAGGATAAGATAATACTGACAAGAATATTTTGATTGAAGTAAAAATATTCGTGTCTTGTCAACTTCCGCGAGTTAAATACGACTGGCGAGTTTCTAACGTTGAAAGATAAAATATTATGCTTAAAACTATGTATATCAGTACAGAATGTGAAAAAGTGATTTTCGCACAATGCGTCATTACTTTTACAAGTTAAAAAAATTTATATTTTAGTTTTTAAGTTTACGTTTTAATTAGTAAATCCCGTTAAATTGAATCTAATGGAAAATTCTTTTATTCATTATTCAGAAACTGAGAAAATATTAGTGATTAAGCATTCATCAACAAAATAAATAACACATAAGTCTATCATCGGATAACGTTCGCGACTATATATATTTGTTCAGATTAATACCAATTTAATATTTTACAGTTGACATGCGTATATTCAGCTTCAACCTGATCTTGGCTATGGACTTCCTGAACAAAATTGCCGAGTTCATGACCACCGGACTTGCTGAAGATGCTCCGGACACATCCACCAGCGATCTAAAAGTCATCAAACCGAGCGTCGACAAAACCGTTGATAATGTAGGTTTTGTATTTTAAATTGGTCCAACTATTATTATAATAATCGTTGTGGTAAGGCCACGTAACATCTTCTGATGTTGCACAAATGGGCAGGCTCACTCGGGAAGAACTACGGCCTCTCAGAAGACCAGCTTGAAGGAGAAGTATGATAGTTTCGCAATGCGACCGCTGAGTGAGGTAATCGGGGCACAAAAGTTGGCATCTCCAATCTTTCATGTGTTGTAGATATCTATGGGCGGCGCATATCACTGAACATTAGGTAAATCGTTTACCTAATTTTCATATGATTTGTTATAAAAAAGGTTACGATATTTTTCTATTTAAGCAAAAATGTGTTACACATATTATGAAAACCTGACTAGGAAAATGTATTTTGACAATAAATAAAAGTTGTATAGGATGATACAAATTATGTTACTTTTTTATTTAATTAGTTTGTTTTAAAAAATTTTAATCATGGATTTTTTAATGTTTATATTTTTTACGATTATTGGTAATAGTAGCGTTAGAAATGTGTTCATTTAGGGTCTCGGTTGTTATAGTATGCTATATATGTTTCTTTTTAATATCAGAAAAAGAAGGCGTCAACGACACACGCACCACAGAGCACAGAGTCGCCTCAGAACCCTTCTATGATGACGGTTAATATCAAGATCGAGCAACCGGACATTATCCTAGTGGAATCGCTCGAACAGAAACAATGCGACGCTTTGGTGCTCAATGTGAGTAAAGTATTTTCATTCCTTTAGATATTTGATAGTGTAATGGCGTAGAGAAAAGTATGAGACTTGAGTCTAGTCCATCAAATGTAAGAAATAAATTTCGTCGCAAGCAATATGAAACCTCAAGTCTTGTTAACTTTCAAGAAGAATTTTTATAATCGGTTCATTAATAACGGAACAATGTTCTGACGTAACAATCACAAAAAAAAATTAAAACGAATCGAGAACCTCCTCCTTTTTGGAAGCCTGTAGAATATTTTTTTTTCCCCGAAATATAATATTCTGTAGGGCATTTATCATACCTACATGTATAATACCCAGATCCGAAACAAAAAACATTCTTTAGCAATTAAAATATGACTTACACTTGCAATTTTAAACATAATTTAATTAGTGAAATGAAAAATTGTCGACGAATGGCATATCACGAATCAGTGGTGAAAGTAAAGATGTAAACGCGGCAATAACGAGCGGCCACTTGCACCACCGGCGGCAGATGGAGGCGCGCTTCAAGCTGCGGCGCACGGCGGAGCGCATGGTGGCGGAGGGCGGCGTGTCGGGGCTGCAGCTGGTGCTGCGGCGGCTGGGCGGCGGCGCGGCGCGCACGCTGCTGGCGCCCACGCACGTGTCGCTGGCGCTCTCGCAGCCGCCGGCCAGCGGGCCGCACGTCGACCTCGCCGTCTCGGACGTCAAGCTCACCGTCTCCCCGGGTAGGCGATACTCGGTTTTTTGTTGAGTGGTAACCGCCGCCCATGGACATTTGCGACGCCACATTTAAATAGAGTTGGCCCCGGCTCCCTCACTCGCCAGACGAAACGCAGAAGTGTAACACTCCTACTTTACGCCGGTCTTATGTGAGGTCGTGGCACTTACCCGGACGGACTTGTCTATTCGAGCAGCAGTAACACTGTTGCGTGGCCCTACCACAGTTATTCTCTTTAAGGTTCCGTACCCTAAGGGTAAAACGGGACCATATTACTAAGACTCAGCTGTTTGTCTGTCCGTCCGTCCGTTCGTCCGGCCCTTCCACAGTCGCATGGTAGTAATAGAATGCGCTGATGCGTCGGAAGCATGACCAGTTGCTGTACTCAGCAGGAATACTAACTTGACTTGATCAAAGCTCCCAGCCTAATACAGCATTAGTGATAAAATTACAGCTGCACATGATGTCTGAATTCTGTAATTACGGCCTCTTCTGGTCATTCCGTGGCGCTGTTGCCAAGGTACTACTTCGGCGCCGCCGGTCGTAGGGTCGATTCCCACACGACACAACGATTTCTATGAAGTATATGAATGTTCACTAAACAATTTTCTATTACAGACATAATAGGACTGTTGAATCGGGTGCTCGCCACAATGACAAGCCGCGAAGAAGATAACGTGGAAGAAGACAACAAGGCCATCATCTATGACAGTTTGTGGGCTATTCAGCCATTCCGACCCAACTCATACTGGTTTTTAAAAACTGGTATGTAATATTGTGGTTAATTTGAGTTCGAAAAGAGTTTTGTCTGAATATACAGAAGTCACATAAAGCTATTAATTTTTTACAATACAATCGTTAAAAATAAATGGTTATTCTGAAACTAGTTCGACTATTCACTTAGTATATTACAAAATGTAACCATTCTACAGAGCCAAAAAAATTGTATATTGGCAAAATACTTTTGTGATAAACAATAGCATTTATTTAGTTTTTGATTGAACATTTAAATTTCTTTAACCTGAATGTCATGATAATCTGTCTCTAGTTATATAATGAGGTAATCAGTTACCAAATAGCGGGACAGCGTGTTTTTTTACCTTATTAATTATTAACCAAATTCATATCATGTAAACATTTCACGTGAACAGAGGAAGCGGAGGAAGCTATTAATTTGGATAGCGAGCAGAGCAACGAAGTAGCGAAGCCGCCGATGGGCGAGATATGCCTGCTGTCCAGCCCCTCCATTGTGGTGTCCCTCGAAATGGATATCGGCAACGAGACGATACCTGTACTAGTGATGCAGGCGTCGCTCACTGCTCAAGTTAAGGATTGGAGTTCCGAAGTGAGTTCTCTGTTTTTAGACAAATAATCTCTTCTTTTCACTGGCGAGGTTCTGGATAAATTGGAAACGGCGAGAAAGTGGTGATTTATTGGGTGCCCTCGCTCGCTTTTAGTTCGCACATAAAAATATGTAGTGTTGTCAACGCGATCCGTTTGCAGCTGTACATGGAGTCGACGTGGGCGATGCAGGTGTCTTACTACAACATCGGGCGCGCCATGTGGGAGCCGCTAGTGGAACCAGTCGAGGTGCTCAAGGACTCGCAGTACCGCCACGTGCCGTGGGAGCTCAAAATGGAGGTAATGCCCTCTCTCCTATTCTTCTTTCAATAAAAATGTTATAGTTTTGTTTTTTGCTTAGCGGGACGAGTTTTTGGCATTTATTATTGTTGCACATGTTACACTTCATATTTTATTGCTATATTGACATTTTATTTACTATAATCATTTTGTTTACTTGCGTCCAATTGCGTAATATTAAAAATACATAACTATAATAACGATAGGAAAATGATTTAATTTCTGCAATATATATTATCTGTCATCTTAATTTCTTTTCATGTGACTTATACATTGTTTTTGGCATGACATGAGCTATTGTAATAAATTTAGACACCGCTATATGTACCATGTTTATATAAAATAATGGATTATTATTCATTAAATAATACTACGAAAAAATATTATCAGGTACTGTCATTTGAAAAGCAATAAAAAAGCTTAGTTCAGAATCAAGTTTTCATTGAAATAACAGTAAATTTAGCTTGTAGTTTGTGATATAAATTCTTATTAAATTTTCCGACTTTCGATTAATTTCTATCCCCTATTTTAACTACCTAAACATGGAAATACGAGGCAGAGAGAGAGAGAGAGAGAAAGAGGGATTAAAATGGCAGTTATAAATAACAATATCGTTCTCATACCATACTCTGCTCTAAGGTTGTTATGAAACCGCAAGAGAACCACGCCCAAATCGACACAACAGACGAGGCGGTGAATTTGCAAGCCGTCGCACAGAGGCAAGCAAACAAGACCATCACCATATCAAGTAGTGAACCACTTGAAATCACCATCACCAGCAGTGGCATGGAGGTGAGATCTTAATATTATTAGATCTGTTAAGTATTCGAAATCTGAGATAAATAGAGAGAGAGAGAGAGAGAGAGAAAGAACAAATAAAGAGGAGTAAAACAGAAAGAGGCAGATAGGGGGAAGAGATATGGATAGAGAGAGAGAGAGAGAGATAGAAAGAGACATAAAAAGGGAGAAAGTGGGATAAAGAATAATATATTATCATTCATTATTATTTTGATTTACTTACTTTAGGTGCTGACACAACTTGGCAATTCATTTGCCGCTGCGGTCGCTACTGAAAGTGATAACGCTGTCGTATCGAAGTCCAAGATTGACGATGTACGTATTAAATTTGTTAACTTAAACCGTGCAAGTTTATTGCGTGTACGTGAAATAAATTAAAAAAAATCATATTCCTAATTTCAGAGCCCCAAAAAGGAGTTCTTGGGCGCCCCGTACGTACTACACAACTGCATCGGCTTGACGGCTAAGCTGTTGCTGCAAAACAACAAAGATTTCTCAGTGTTTCTGACTGAAGAATACAAATCCAATGATTATAGGTACGATTTCATTATAGCGTTCATTTATAATATTTTGATCAAATCATTAAATTATTTAATTGTTGCAGGGAAGTTGTTTTAGAGCCTGGCGCATGCGTTCCGCTGCAACTGAAGCATGGTGGTCTCAACATGATGAAACTAAATGAACCACCACCACCCTTGAAGCTTAATGTTAAGGTAAACTCATTTAATAAATGTTCTTTCATAGTTTTTCTTGACATTAGTTATGTGAATGAGCTGGATTACTTCAGTGACGAGACGAAACGCAAAAGTATAAAGAACTGGAACAATTTACCTCAATTTATCTCAAAAAAATTGAATGGTTTTTAATATAAATAAATAATATTTTGGTTGAACATGACATGAAATTCAATTCAAATGACTAATATTATAGATGATTAATGTAGATCACTTGAAGAATGTAATTATGTAAGATTGTTCCGAAAAAGAGAATATATTTTTTGAATGGGAAAAACGTTTGTAATACACATTTTGAAGTAAATTTATAAGTAAAATTTGTGTCCGTAAAACGTTTTCATTTCATTGGTAGCGTAATACCTAAATACAGTAAGAGTAAACTTTTTGAAGTTTTTCGAAAACATTGCCGTATACATTGGAGGATAACATTATCCTGTTTGATATACATAAATTTCACATGGACAAACATCCAGATGTGAACATTAATAGTTGTCTCGTGTGGGGATCGTGCTCGCAACCTCCGGCGCCGGAGACCATACCCGCGCCACGCAGTATTCGAAAGCGCGTCAAAGGGCGGTTGGAAGCGGGTGAAGAGGGGTGAACGGGTTCGATATTGCGTTGCAGATCGTCGAGTTGGACGAGGAGGTGGTGGTGCCGGTGGAGCGCGCGGACAAGCGGTACTTCGCGCTGGGGCGGCGGGAGGGGGCGGGTGGCGCGGGGGGAGCGGAGCGGCACGTGCCGCACGCCGCCGCCGTGGAGCCGCGCGGCCTCATCTCCGACGTGGTGATGCAGGACGCCGCGCTGCACATCTACCTGCGCAGCGTCGTGCAGGTGACGGCCCAACGTACCGTCGAGCGCACAGATGCCAAATCGAATCATAAAATCGCTTTCGCTGAACAAGTTTATACGGCCTAACATACGATCGAGCGCACAAGTGTCCAATCGACTTATAAATACGCTTTAGCTAAACAAGTTTATACGGTGTAAAGTACCATCGAACGCACAAGGGCAACTTATCCTCTCTCCATTGGATACTTGTACTCCATTGGATCTTAAATAAAACATGTTAATAATTTTTAACTTCGATAAAGAAGGAGGTTTCTCAATTAAACCGTATATATTTTTTTTATGAAATGTTATAGGTTTTAGCAATGCTTTTTAGTCTCCGGTTTGAAGTCGGTTTTTTTTTTTGTTAAAAATTATTACTTGTTATCGTTCAGGTAACTAACACGCTGTCCGTGAACGTGTCGGTGTACTATATGACGTTGAGCGGCAACGAAGTTCGTTTACTCGGCGACGTGAAGCCGGCTGGCGTTCTGAGGTTGCCCCTACAAGCAGTGCACACACCCACTGCTGAGCTATTCTTCTCCGTTGAAGGTGACGCATTGATGTACCTATTTGCTTATTTATATTCTACATTAGAAATAGGAAATATGTAATCAGGACGATCATGAGGTATAATTCCTTATCATATATCATCACAGCAGTCTGCTTGTCCGGGTAAATGCCACGCCCTGACAGAAGACCGGCGTGAATTGGAAATGTTAAAACGCTTCTTTAGTTTCGTCTGGCAACTGAGGCAACCAGGGCCCATTTTTTTAAACGGTTTGTTGCCAACCGTTTAATCATCTTCAACCCGTCAGGTGTTGTAGGTATTATAGGTTAGCGTCAGGTGCCGCCTGCTCGCTAGCGAATTTTGTCATAAAAAAATAATGAATGAGAAGTTAAGAAGTTGGATTGCTTTGAGTAGAGATCAAGGAATGCAATGAATAAAAATTAATAAATTTCAGGTTTTACAGTATCAGTTTCGCCATTTATCTGGCGCGAATTGCAGCATGAAGTCAGGATAACGAAGTTGCTGCAATGTGATTCCAAAGACAAAGCCAGCGGAGAAAAGTTTTACCTGAAGGTTTGTCATTTTTAGTTATACAGATATTACATGTCTGTAATAATATGGTTGTAGGTTGGTGTATATTTTATGACAAACTCTATTTCATTTAAAATAATGGAAATGTTAATTACTTGAACATAACCTATTTTAATCACTAAATTTTGTATTCTTAAAGAAAATAAGGAAAATAGTGAAATTTAAAATAACTGTTTTATACATTACATCACAATTGCATACTGATGTTATCTAGATTTTTAAGCAGTGATGTAGACTAAGGTGGTTAACCCGATGATAGCCTGGCAAAAGTCTATTAACTTGCTTTGAAGAACCTTAGTTTGTACTTGGATGGGAAAACTGATGCTGGCAAACTCTATATGCTCAGAATCAAAGTTATTCTAGAATAACCATGGACATTTTTATTTTTTATTTTTGCTATATTACATGAGTACTTTATGTGTGCAACCGTTATATTCACCAGGCTGTTGGCACGATGGAGCAAGTTTTCTACGAGAACACCAACCGTCACACCTTCGCATCGTCCTGCTACGACATTGTGCTAAAGCCGGCCGTTAAGCTGCAAAACTGCTTGCCAGTCGACATCATAGTATCGCAGTTGGGCCTCAAAAGAACTCAGATATTCAAGCCCGGGGAAATGTTCCACTTGTCTCACCTTTCTCCTAATAGGGCTTCCATAGTTGTAATGGTCTGTATAATTTCATTTCATCCTTTAATGGTCGAAGTGCATATATTTTGAACAAAGTTTTTGCATAAAGTTTGAATTAGTTTTAAATTACTAATAGTTTTTGTATCAATATTTATACAAATTCAAAGAAGAAAAGAGTATAAATCTTTTATTGTAAGAAAAAAAATCATAGCTTATTGTATATTACGTTCATTTTATGGAATTAAATAATACATGTCTATTTTCAGATACAAAGCTATTTGGACAAATGTTGGGTGTGCACAAAGAACCTTCCGGACGAGGAGACTGAGCTGTCAGTGTGGTCTTTCGAGTCCCACGACAGCCCCGCCGTCATGTCATTGGACCTCGGCATGCATAGCATAGATATGGAAGGCACCCAAGTGCTCTCCCTGTACTGTCCCTTCTGGATGCTGAACAAAACTGGTTTCACTCTGTGCTATAGGGTAAGTGGACATTACATGTTATACCCATTTGAATCGAGAATTGTTTTTTTTTTCATAGGTTAAATGGCAAACTATGGCCGACAGGTATGTTAGGTGCCCATAGATACCAGTAACACGGCTGGGGTTTTAAGTGCAGTGCCAATCCTTAAACTAGTGACAGACAAACGAACACGGTGCGTCCATACCACTGCACCGTGCGGTGCGCTCTGCGAATCAGACGCTCGCACCGTCCACTCATTTTTAATTATTGAATTAAATATAGTGGGAATAGAACACGGTCCTCATGCCTCCGATTAAAAAAAAAATCAAATCGCGTTTGTTGTGGCCACCATCACAGTCAATAATATAACGAAAAAGAAATGAATGGGCAATATTCTCATCTTAAAGTTTATATGAAACTTATGAATATATCTTTGCATCAGTCCTGAATTATTTGTCAAACAGTTGAATCTCTTTAAACCACTTATCACTAAAGCTGATACAGTTGGACACAAGCTGTGACCGCTGCTTACAACGCTTACAGTGCGCTAGACCTAGCCCATTCATCTAACAGCAAAGCCACAGTTAAATTAAACAGTGTAATCTATTGTATACACAATCATTAATCTGGTTTTGATGTTAAAACGTAGGTACGGTAATTAATTTATTGTTAAATGGTAATGGGTTGAAGAAACTATAATATACTACACAAACAATCTACTGAATGTATTCAGTTATAATTATAGTAAAATGTGTATGATGAACAAAATTTTATGCTCAATTTTATAAGAAGCAATAATTATTTGAAATTATTTATATATTAGTATAAATATTTGTTAATCATTTCATTGCATTTTGTTGTTTCCACCTATGCATACATTTCTGTATATGTGTTATGAATGCAACAAATTGTAGTTAGCCCAAAACTTTTTAAAATTTTAATTGTACTAATTTTACCAATGGTTAATTCTTTTATATTTAAGTTTAAAGTATGTAGCTAGTAGAGTATTCGAATCTGTACCTATAAGTAGTAGCATTTTTGTTCGATTGGCTATAAGTAATTCCGTGGTTACAGAAATCAAAGAAACCAGAAAAAGACTCCAGCTCCCCCAACAAGGTATCTTTGAGATGAAAATAAATTTAAATTATATTTTTAATTTACTTCTGCGGTCGTTATTTTTTTTTACATTATTTATGCTTTTATATTATTACCTATTAACCAGTATTATTTCGATTATTGCTATTTTAAGATTTTTTTGGTTTCGAATGTTCTCTTTTTATTTTTAAGACGATATTGATAGTGACCACATCAAGTTCTAGATTTTTGTTATTCATCTCATGAGCCATTGGTACTGCCTTGAGGCATATCATATTCTCAGACATTTCAAAATTATGACTTTTTACTTTTCGAAAAACTCCAGTCAAATTTATCTTTTGAGATATTAGTGACAGAAAACCGAACATAATCGAAATAGATGTCTCCAGGCAGAACATTGTATATGCTGGATCAGAGTTAATATTTCCATTGCATGACTTACTAAATAGATAATTATAGTAGTTTGAACTAAGTGAATGGTGTCATTGAGTTTTCACTCCATCGAAGAGGTTAGTTGGTGGTGAGTGCACTCATTAGATTGCGCTGTAACATCTAGTTTTTTGTGACAGATTGCAAATTCACGTTGCTGTGAATTAATTAGACATCACACATCTTGCTCGGTGAGTGCAAACGCCATAGAAGCGTTCATTTATCAACATTCACTAATTTTAATCACCTCTTGTAACATAAATATCGTATTCCAAACACAAAACTATTATAATTCATACACAGTTTTTTCTATGTGGTGAGTTAATGAGATATTTATAATATATTTAAATGGGTGTTAGTTGTTCTAACCTCATGTGAAAATTATGATGATGATAAGAAGAGGAACATGATTTTAACTTTACCAACAAACATATCAGATTTCAGTAAGCATGATGCATGTTGCATGCAAACGGACTGATTTGGGCTTACACTGTAGTTGTAACGTTAACAATTTCACCCGTTTACTAATTAGCTTCAGATTAATTCAAAGTGGAAGCTACTGATGTGAGTATTTGTCCATAACACGTTTCCTCTGCTGTTCCAGAGCGCCGACGAAACTGGCAACGTGATCTTCCACCCGAAGGACTACAAGGAGCCGATCCTGTTCTCGTTCAGGGCGAAGAACTTCTTCGGCAAGAAGAAGGCGGCGATTAGAGTGGAGTTCGGCGAGTGGTCGGACAAGTTCTCCCTGGACGTTCCGGGGAGCTCGGGCGTCGTCATCTGCAAGAACGAAGGGAGGACCTATCAGGTGGGCTTACGTTTCTATGTTCTTGACTAATTCAAAGTCAAAATTTCTTTATTCAATATGGGCTCATTATACGTCTCTTATTGAACGTCAACTATATAAAATATAAAAACTACCACCAAAATCATTGACTCCGCTCTTAACTTACCGAATTAAATAAGTTAAGCTTACAAAAATACATAATTATTAAAAAGTATTTAATAATTATGTATTTTTGTATTTTTGTATTCTTGAAGTGTTCCTTTTTTTATCTTTGTGCTATTTATTATTGTTTTTTATTTTTATTTTTGTAATGTATGTAGTAGCTTCCATCAAAATAATATTGTATGTTTAACACATGGATAATGTAGTGGGCTGTAATATTATTACTACATCAACACAACACATCTGTTCATATCATATATTGGAGCTGTTTGTTATCCCCAATAAAATAAAATAAAATAAAGTATTGACGGTTTTCTTTTTTGTATGAGGAGTGGAGATTTTATATAGATAGAATTTTTTTTTGAAATTTGTTAAGCGAGCACACACTACATCGACAACACAGCGACATCTACAACATACAATGGCTTGGAGAAGCGTTGTCAACCTTTTAAACAGTGGGCATCTGGTTATCTCACTCACCAGACGAAACATGAAAATTTAACACATCTACTTGACACCGGTCTTCTCTGAGGCTGTAGTATTTCCTGCTTGCCCATTCGTGCCCCTAGCATCGGTCAATATAGAATGTTTGTTTTAAATGGGGCAGTATGAAGAAATCAAAAACATAAACTGGAATTTGTCACTTGAATCTGCATGTAGCAGGGTTCATGAAAATTAGCAAAATTTACCATTGTTAATAAAATCAACATTTCATTATGCCTCAATCATATTTTCATTTTATCAGAAGATAAAACCAGAGGGTAGAGAAGCTAAAGCGAAAGTTTTTAGTCCTTTTGTCTATCTTCGTCATGCTTATTAATAAAGTTCTGTATGTGTTTAGTTAGTAAGTCTAAATAATAAAACAAAAATAGCCTCAGAGAGTTGTAGTATGTGAGAAATGTGAAAAACGAAATGCTACATGTACTGTAATGCACTATATTATATTAATTTTCATTATAAAAAAATAGTATTGTAAAACATTGAAAAGTGTTTCTTGTATTATTAAACTTCTTAATTTTTTTTATAATCGGAAGCTTAGCACAAAAAGGAAACTTACCGATATAACTAAATATAAAATTTTATGAATTGTAATAATAAATTGACATTATTTAATGTTGTTGTTGACCAATAAGTTGTAAATTAATTTTACTATGTATAATTTTGTTAATGGCTCATATAAATCATACAATTTGCACGCAGGTGGCAGTCACGAATCAGCTGACGTTCAACAGTCTTACGAAAATGGTGATATTCACACCATTCTTCCTGATCATCAACGAGGCACCCTTCGCCATTCAGTACCAAGAGCTGCACCGCTCTGGCGATCCGTGGAGAGAGGTGATCTAAATCTAATTTTCAATATATTTTTTATGTGACATGGTGACAAGCGAGCACTTAACCTGATGTTAAGTGATAACCCCCGCCCATGGGCATCTGCAAACCATATGCGTTGCCACCTTTTAAGTCTTAAATAATCTTATTATACAGCGTGTCGTTACCATCGCGACAATAAATGAACCCACATATAGGGGATAAGTTTTTAAAGTTGTATTAAACGTTTAAATTCTTTAATCATCAATATTTACAGAGTTATTAAATTTTCCAAAACAAAGAATTTTAGAACACCCTTACCTATAAAAGCGTAACGTAAAGTTCATTTGTAAAGGTCACAAAGCATATGAATGGATTGAATGAATTTAAAAGAGACAAAACATACTGTTAGAAGGAGAGGCTTGTAATACGACGCTGTGGCGCGAGTTGTATAGGATGTTAGAAATTTTGTTTCTTTTTTACTTAATTAGTTTGTTTGAAAAATATTTTTTTTTAATTATGGATTTTGTTTTACGTTAATATTTTTTTATGATTATTGGCTCGTAGCGTTAGACGTGTGTTCATTTAAGGCCCATTTACACGATGCCATTTTCTTGAACATACAAGAGCAATAATTGAATGCAATAAATTGCGCGCAATAATTGTTTAGACCATTTCTTGTTTAGACCATGCAACTCATTTATTGCTTCAATTTAATTGTATACAACAGGCAAGAAACTGGCACCGTGTAAATGGGCCTTTATTGTCGCGATGGTAACGACACGCTGTATATCTTAAAATTATTTACTTTTAACCATTGCCTTTCAGGCATGTCCGTCATTTACTTTGAGCGTAATGAAATCGGTTTCGTTAATAAATGTGTGACAGTATGCACATTTATTTTATGATTATGTGGTTGTTAAAGATTTCAAGAATACTTTTGTCTCTTTAACAGTTGCTCGCAAGCATGTTTGTATTTGATTGGATTTAAATTGGTTATCTTCGTGTACTCAGACTCACGAGGGGTCAATTATTTTATTTTAAGTGAATAATTTGCTTTAAATTCTAGACCCTTGCGGCATATGAAATATTAGATGCAAAATTTGCAAATGTAATACTACATGTGATTACATCACAGAACATTAATTAAAATCTCATAATAAAAATCACCTTTATGTGGGTCATAAGTCTTTTTTAGTACTCTTTTTTCATTTTTGGTATTAAAAACTAAACTGACATCATTTATCTTACTCACTATAAATTGTCTATGTGATTTTGAGGAGTTCCTTGATGTATTTCGGGAATCCAAGGTTCATTACCAATGAAATTATGGGACCACATGGGACTTAAACCCATTGCGAAATTTTTTTAACTCACTAACTAACAATATCTTGAGGTAACAAACATAAAAAAATAAGCAACTGGATTGAGCACCGCCTCCTTTTTTGAAATCGGTTGATATATTAGTAATATAAAAGTATAAAATAAATACATATTATAGGTATATGAACATCCAGATATTAGAAAACGTTATATTCATCACCCAATATTTTTGTAGTAGCAGGGATCGAACCCACACCCTCTGGCGTATAAGGCGAGTCCACTGTCCACTACGCCAATCGGTGGTATATTAAAGTATGTTTGTTAATAAATTCGCAGGTGGAACAAAACTCGAGCGCGCCGTTATGGCCCGTGGTGGAGAAGGAAGACAAACTGCTGCTGCTGCGTGTCGCCGGCTCTGCTGAGCACGCAGCTCCCTTCCTCTTCACCGAGCAGCACACCGTCTGCTTGAAGCTCAACAACGAGGTAATTAAAGCAGTAAAGTGCCCACCTATATATGTCCCACTGCTGGGACACATATAGGTAGCCCATATAAAATCTAAAATATATTTATTCAAATAGACGCTTGCGCGCCCGTCAAATTTTACATCAAAAATTATGTATTCGTCGTAAGTATGTATTGTAGGTTCGTAAGGTATCACCGGTTCGGAAAGCAGTTTCTGTTGAGAAGAGACTGGCAAGAAACTCAACAGTTGTTAGGTGTTAATATTCTCTGTACAGAGGCTTTATGAAAATAGTCTGCCACGCGACTCCACTGGTCATTGCTGGACTTCAATTTATCTTCGAAATTTGTTTTTTTCTTGTCATTATTTCGAAAATCTTATTTATATGTCCAATAAGCGACTTTGGAGACATCGGGAGCGGCTTTGTTTTATATTATCTATACAGATAAATAAAAATGGAGTGTCTGTTTGTAATAGTCAAATAATAGCTTTTATTTAAATGCATATGGATGTATATACGGTATATATGCCAAAATAACATTTTTTACAATTTTTCTATGTCTGTTTGTTCCGACTAATCTCGGAAACGGCTGGACCGATTTTGACGGGACTTTCACTGGCTCATAGCTCATGTAATAAGGAGTAACTATATAAATAGTATAATTCCACGCGGACGAAGTCGCGGGCACAGCTAGTCACTACATAGTATAAAACAAAGCCGCGGTCTGTCTGCCCATAAGTATGCTTAGATCTTTAAAACTACGCTACGGATCTTGGTAGGGTTTTTTTTACTACATAGAGTGATTCAAGAGGACGGTATATATGTATAATAAATTGCACCCGTGCGAAGCCGAGGCGTGCTAGTGTAATAATAAAGATGTGTATGCGTCGCGGTGAATGTGTGAACGCAAAAGTAAGACATCCTTCAAAATACTGGTTTGTGAACACCTGTTAAAGACAAATTCGACCTAAGATATGGACTGTAGTTAAAAGTAGAAGCTAATTGTTATTTATTTACATATGTTTATAGAAGTATACATCTTTATGTATATATATATATATATATATATATATATATATATATATATATATATATAATATTATAATATATAATAATAAATATATAATATATATATATATTATATAAAATTATAATATTACTTTCATCTATATTCTCTTTAATTAAAATTTTATTATTCTTGCATCTTTTGCTGCACCTACCATAAACTCTCACCACATCCTGGGTTGACTGGTAGGAGAATGCCTTTGGGCATTAAGTCCGCCCTTTGTTACCTTGTTTTACTGACGGTTGGCAATAAAGATTAAATAAATAAATAAATAAATAAATGTGCCTTCGGCAGTACGGCGGGCTGAACGTGGAGGTGCAGCTGAGCGAGGGCGGCACGTACGTGACGGTGCGCCAGTACCGGGACGGGCACGCGCCCGCCCTGCTGGTCAACTTCTCGCCGCACCCGCTCACCGTCTACGAGAAGGAGAACGTCAACGTCAAGTGAGCCCTCGCCAAGTGGCGTCGAGCATGGAGAGCTTCTCCTTCTCTCTTACGCTCATGCCCTGTAGACGCCCTCGCTAAATAGCTAAATGTTGAAGTAAATGAACTAAAGTAAGGTTGATACATTAGTATTAACAGGTTTATTACATATGTGCAATCTGTAAATGAGGTTATATTCAATGAACTTAATCAATATATAATAATATTTGATTTATGTGGAGCCCAATTTTCAAAAGGTTGTCAACGCATCTGTAACCCTCGGGTGTGGCAAATGTCCATAGGCGGCGGTATTCACTTAACATCAGGTGAACCGTCTGCTCGTTTGACAACTTTTCGCATAAAAAAAAATGTACTGTAATTATCCTGCCTTATATAATATCTACGTAAAGCTTAAAGGATAAATTTTTATTGTTAGCGCTAGACCAGCACTCGAGATACAACTTTAAATTGTGAATTTTTGTACATAAATGAACAAAAAGTTTCTTAGGTTAATCTTGGTTAAGATTAATATAACGCTATTTGTTTTTCTCAGAACAATACCACCAATGCATCGAATGCTGTTCACGTGGGATAATCCGGCTGGTCCCCGAATTCTTATATTTGAAGGCCACAAGAAGAAAGAAATCGAAAACGACCTCAGGAAAGATGGCATTGGCGATTTCATGTAAGTTTAGTAGACTATAGCTATTATAATACAGAATTTTATTGTTAAGCAGTAGTACAACTAAACCATTAATAATAAAACGTGTTTATTTGAGGCAATGGTCCATTTATTTTAGTAATACAAGCAAGAGGTAGGCCTTATTTGTCTCGAGTGCAAGACTATTACAGGACTACGAATCGAACACGATCGCCGGCGCTGAAGCCTTGTGTGAAAGTATCTTGGCAATTGCGCCACGGAGTCATCAAGTCGTAGAAGTGTTATACTTCCGCGTTTATTCGGAAATATTTATTTGCCAATAACCGTGTTCTTGTGAAATTGTTAAAAATTGGATTGCGGATATGGATAATATTGTATATTTGGACGGTTTCACCTTCCGCGCGGCCCATGGGTCGTGTTCCGCGCGATCCATGGGTCGTGTTCCGCACGATCCATGAGTCGTGTTCCGCGCGGCCCATGGGTCGTGTTCCGCGCGGCCCATGGGTCGTGTTCGGCGCGGTCCACGGGCCGTGCTCCAACGTCGCCGTGTCCAGGATCAACGAGACGCAGCGCGTGTCGTGGGTGTCGTTCCTGGACGGGCTGCAGCGCGTGCTGCTGTTCACCGAGGACCCGCTGCTGGCCAGCGGCGCGCACACGGTCGGCGAGGCGGAGCTGCTCGACACCGAGCTGGTGCTCGCCATGCAGGGGCTCGGCCTCTCGCTCGTCGACGACTCGCAGGCGCTCGAGATCGTCTACGTCAGCATATCCAAGTGCGTGTTTCACCGTCGCCGGTAGGGCCTCGGCCGTTGCACCAATGGGCAGCTCACTGATTAGGAACGGCGTGAAGTGGAAGTGTTACACTACCACCATTCGTCCGGTGAGTGTGGTACGCGTCTGCAACCCTACGGGTGTTGCGAATGTCCGTGGGCAGCGGTTGTCACTTAACATCAGGTGGACCGCCAGCTCGCTTGCCACCTTCTCACATAAAAAAAAGCTGGCGTGGTTTATCCAAGTGCGCACCTCTTAGTTTAGGTGTCATTGATCAGCGCCGACATTGCTCGTTGGCGTATCCAAATGCCACCTTATCTTGCGTGTCGTTCGATCGCTGGAATGTCAACACCGCCCTTTAACGGTATTCATGTACGGTAAAACATATATAGTGAATTAAATAATTATAATAACAGCTTATACATACTATATGTACCACTGCTGAAAAAGCTCTTTTGTACAGACGCTATGAGGGCACAGTCCACCACGCGACCCCAATGCGGATTCACATACATTTATTTTAAAAATATGCATATTTCTTCATCGCTAAACACAATGAGTCAGCACTTAAAACTGTTCTCAATTATATCATTGGTGTCAGCACCAAGATTTAACTAGGGCTTCTCGAGTATATTAAATTAAGAGCGGCATATTAATTATGGAAACTCAGCTATCACGACTGGTACATATATGCTATTTAGTTCTTTACTCTTCAGAAATAGGGTTGTAGGATTTGAACCGTAGTCGTGAGTTCGTGTTTATGTATTGAACTAGGATCCCAGGGAAAATTGTTACGACTGTGTTAATTATTTCTCGGACTATGTGGGTAAACATCTAAATATACATTCTTATGTCTAGGAAAGGAGGACAAACTGATATTTATAGTTTGTCCTCGAAATTTTCATTGAATATTATAAATTCATTGTACTAACGTGATTTTATGTACAGAGTTGAATTTCGATTCGTAATGAGACTCATGGACGACTAAAGAGAGAGGGCAAAGAATACCTGAACGATTCTTTAACATTTATTAGATGAAATCACCGATATTCCATACTGTCTTTTGTACAGAACTTTATCTGTTATACAATAAATTAATTTTATGTTTTTTTTTTTATGTGAAAAGTTGCCAAACGAGCAAACGGTTCACCTAATGTTAAGTAAATACCGCCGCAGATGGAAATCTGCTACACCGGAGGGTTTGTAGTTGCGTTGACAAACTTTTTTGAAATTGGGCTCCGGCCACCTCACTGACCAGACCAAACGCAAAAGTGTTATACTTCCACTTTACGCCAGTCTTCTGTGAGGTCGTGGTACTTACCCGGACGAGCCTGCCCATTCGTGCAACAGCCGAGGCTGCTGCGTGTCCCTACCACCGTTATGTTTGCTATAATCTTTGTTAAAAAAAATCATTATTTTAAGCTCAACAAGTGTTTTTTTTTAAAGTTCGATTATGTTTTAAGCTTTTCTTTCTTTCGATGTCAGTTCTGGAATAATATGGGAGCAGTGCAAAATGGGCGCGCGGCGTTATAAGAAGATCGAAGGTCCCAAGCTTATACAGTTGGAAGAGGCGTACCAGCGTTATCTCGCCGAAAAGATGATCAGCGACGAGCCCGTTTCACCAAAGGTCGCAATCGATGAGAAGATGGAAGTATGTACATTCTTTTATTTATAGTTTAAGTTGTTTCTTTCCAAACTGGCGAAACAAATAGAATTAAAACATCGTTATTATTTTTTCTTTATATGAAAAGTTGCCAAACGAGCAGACGGTTTACCTGATGTTAAGCGAATACCGCCTACCATGGACATCTGCTACATCCGAGGGTTACAGATGCGTTGACAACCTTTTGAAAATTGGGAAAAATAATTTTTTGTTCATAATTATACGGAGTGAATTTTTGAACTGGGAGTGGTTTGCTGGATTTGAAAGTAAAGGGAATATTCAAAAATACTCAACTGTGGTGAAAGCAACGACTGGTCAAGTGGCAGTCTTTGCTGTTGTCACAGACCACTTCACATAATACACCTCACATAAGCCCGGCGTGAAATAGAGGTGTTGTTATACTTGTGTGTAATGAGGAAGTTAGGGTGAAATTGCATTATAAATTAAACATTCACAATTTCAATTGTAATTATTATTATAATTAATTTATTCATTTTATGCGAAGGTGCAGAGTTGGCTTTCACTGAATTTTACTTTGTTTGAGATTTTTTTGTTAGCTGGCAAGTGAAGTGGATGTTTTTCTGATGTTAAGTGATAACCGCCGCCCCTGGACATCTGTAACACCGGTTTGCTTGCAGGTGCGTTTTGACATTAAAAGCACTGGGCCCCGCTTACCTCCCTCACCGCACTAAACGCGAAAGCATAATACTTCCGCTTCACGCTGGTCTCCTGCGATGCCCTGGTACTTCCCGCACCTGTCATTTGTACAATAAACAACGAGAAGTGGCCGAAAAGTGTTACCCTCATTTGAACGGCTCGTCACTGCCAAGTGGACTTTAAAATGTTGCGGGTAGTGATAACACAAAGAGAAGCGTTCCCCTCATTTGAGTGGCTCGTCCCCGGCAGGTGGACTTTGAGGAGACGCGGGTGTTGATAACACAAAGAGAAGCGTTGCTCTAATTCGTGTGGCTCTTTCGTGGTAGGTATACTTAGAGGAGACGCGGGTGTTGATAACAATGAAAAGCGTTCTCCTCATTCGTGTGAGTGTCTGCAGGTGGATAGGGAGGAGATGCGGGTGTTAATAGCACAATGAGAAGCGTTCTCCTTATTCGAGTGACTGTCTGCAGGAGGACTTAGAGGAGTCGCGGGTGTGATAACACAATTGGAAGCGTTCCCCTCATTGTAGTGGCTGTCTGCAGGTGGACTTCGAGGAGATGCGGGTGCTGCGGCCGTCGGCGCGGCTGCTGCGGCGCACGCTGGAGCCGGGCCTGTGGGCGAGCTGCGGGCTGACGGCGCACTCGCGGCGCATCCACGCGCGCCTGTACCGGCTGCAGGTGGACCAGCAGCTGCCGCTGCCCACGTTCCCCGTGCTGCTGGCGCCGGTGCCGCCGCCGAAGTCCGTCGCCAACGACGACCCGAACGGTGAGCGACGCCCTGGCCGGAACCGTGCGCTCTCCTTCTCTTTAACAGTGGCTTGCTTTGCGAGTTATCACAATACCGCCAATGTCAAGTTGTTAGCCATTACAAGTAGGGGAATGACGGTCTTAAATCATTAATTTAGTTAACGGAGGTTACTGCTTTGAGCATGTTTTACCTGAAAAAAAAAAGGTCCGTGCGCTCTCATAGTTTATTAATAATTATTGTGTCGTGTTTTTTTATTTTTTTTTATCAAGATAAAGGGGCTAACGAGCAGAAGGCTCACCTGATGGTAAGTGATTACCGCCGCCGATGAACATCTGTAACACCAAAGGGATAACAAATGCGTTAAAAAACAACAAATTAATTAAAATAAAATATCAAAAATTACAAATCAACAACGGTGCCCCCCCTCATCGGCGTAGATAACATCTCCAGTCCTACTTCATTATAGTTTTATGTAACGCGAACTATATACTACCTTCGTTATGTGATTTCTGACTAAAAAATATAGCACAGCAGAGCATTGTCGCATATCTGATATGGACCATCGCATATCGTAGTGCCTTCCAGAATCATTTTAAAAGACAATAGGTTCTGCCGTTTCGGGTCATCTCATATCGACACCTGAAGGGAACCGTACCTTTTACATTGTTTCTGGTAGGTGAGGTAAGTGAATCTGCTACGTCACATGTTTGTGATGGTTTGTGTGGTCATGTGTCATGACTTAACACCAGGTTTACGGTTTTCTTGCTTGCCGCCTTTTTACATTAAAAAATAAACCTTTAAAGCTTAGGTTACAGAATCGCTAAACAGCAGTAACAATTAAAAACGTTTGTACTTATGTTTCCGTCAATACTGTTATAAAAAGGTTTATTTTCAAACCAGCTTTTAAGAAGGAAGTGTTCCCATCCATTCAATTATGTCCTTCACTTTGATGGTTCGATTATAATTATTTTTGTGACCAATATTATTATTATATTTATAGCTGTTATTTATTGCAGGTATGAAGCCTTTCATCGAGGTGTCAATAGTGGAACGTATAATGGAGCACAGCAAGGTTCGCCAGTACAAGTACTATAAGGTGCTCATCCAGGAGTTCCACGTCAAGGTGGACATGGGCCTGATCAATGCACTCATGGGCATGTTCCCACAACGGCTGCTCACGGAACAGGAGGCGGTTAGTATACGTTTTTGTTTGACCGTACGCTTTGGCTTCAAAAAAAAAATTAAAGTAACAGGTCACTGCTAGGAAAAGGCCTCCTCAGCACGGAAGGTATTAGAGCATAGGTCACCACGCGACCACATTGCGGATTGGCGGACTTTATATATATCTTCGAAATATTTTATTATTATAATTTCGTAAATATGTTTCCTCGCGATATTTACTTTAACCATTTAACGTGATAACGTGATACAAGTCTTGTCTATGTTCTCTTATTAAATGGTTTCGCCTCGACTGACACTAGCAATAAGTTTGGATTCGTTTCGCCTTATGGCCTCTGGTTGCACATTTCTAAGGAGGGTTGTTCGTGAATATTCGGTAATGCCTTTAGACAATATTATTTCACATGTGCCAATCTCACTTAGCATGGATTAAAGTAGGAGACGAAAAAGAAAAAGAATAACGTTATCCTAAACAATATCTTTTTTTTTTGTTTCAGCTTGACGCGTTCCAACTGGACATGGAAAGGGCCGGCCAGCCTCTGGAGGCTCTCGCTGCGTTAGGCGCCGCCTCCGATCAGAAAAATTTCTATGACAATCTACATTTATCGCCACTCAAGGTATGTTGCTACTAAGTAAAAAAGTACATCATAATATACCCGGGACATAAACCGCATCTCTAACAATCCTAACGATTTTTAATGGAAAATCAGCACCAGTCCATACAGCAAATAAACCCACGTCTTTTTTTAATCTGCTTCTAACTTGCCGTAAATCGTAATTTATTGCAATTTGGAGTAGTTTTAAAAGCGATGTATTTTCTAATACAGTGAAGCAATAATAAAAAAAAAACTTTAGAATTAGATTCTTCAAAGAATATAATTTACTTTATGTGTTTGATAAAACACAGAAGTCTTTATTTTTTACTAGCTTATGTAATTTGTAGTTGTGGTTGGGGTGTGGTATATCTCTATTGAGCAGGATACTAAATAATAAAACCGATCTGACACTCACAGTTAATTGTTCCACAACACAAATAGTCCACAAATAACAGTTAGAAGGAGAAGGCAACGGAGTTATTTAGATGCGAAGAAACAAGCAGAGAGATAGAGGAAAAGCAAAGCGTAACACAATTAACATAAAAGATTTAAATGTACGTAAGCAACGTTACAAGCGTCCGTAAGGCAAAGCGACAATCTCCACAACATTACCATATAAGGTGCGTTAGCGATGGAGCTGCCGGGATCGAACCTTCGAGATTTCGACCAACGGTTAAATGCTGTATAGTGTGTAAAGTGTAATGCTTGTTTTATTGTGTTGTGATAAATGTGTGCGTGAATGTTAGTATGTTTGAATATGTGTGTTTTGAGGCCCCTACTAATTAATTATCATGAAAATGACGCTCTATGTAACTATTTACTTACTTTTTTTTAGAAAATTATGTCTGATGATTATTTTATTTTTTTTCACCCTAATTTATGAATATTATTGATAGTTTTTTGGAATCGGAAATTGAATTTGACTGATGAATTTTCAGTAATATAGTTGTCGGAGATTAATCACCACAGAGCAACAAAGTTGTTTTCTTGAAATGTCACACATTAAGTTACAAGATCAAAGGTTGGTCTATTTTTTTCAAGTCTTATTATTCCAACTATCCATTGTGTGTTTTATCGATCCCTACCTTGTGACGTAATAGTTAGTAACCAGTGACTGAACATCCAACTCACAATTGGACGTTTTTAATTTAGTGCTGATTCAGCCGAGATTTGAATATATCGGCCGTATGCCATAAAGTAATACTCAATTTGTGTTATTTAAATTTTAGGTGCACGTATCATTTTCGCTGGGCGGTGCCACACAGCTGCCAACGTTTGTTGGAACTCTACTGCAAAGTATTGGCGTCACATTGACCGATATGAACGATGTAGTGTTTAAGTAAGTTCGTGTACAATTTTTGTTTACCATTACATTTTCATTCGTCTTCTCTCTTTGTCTTTCTTTCGATTTTATATATTTAGTTTCTATTTTAGAATAATAATAATAATATAAAAACATCCCGGTAGTTAATTTATTTATAAACTTTTAATCATAATTAAATAGAGATCGGTTAATCGCGATTTTGGTTTAGGTCTATAAAAATATTACTTTGTGTACATTTATTTTTATCTACATCATTTTTTATATTTGTATCGTAATTTCATTGGTTTAAATCCTTTAAGGATTACTTACACGTTTTATAATTTCAATATATTTCCAATTTTTAGGTTGTCGTACTACGAGAGGAATTATGAGTTCCTGTCACAAAAAGAACTGATCTCCCAAGTCCAAAGCCATTACACGGGCCAGGCTTTGAAGCAGCTGTACGTTTTGGTGCTCGGGTTGGACGTAATTGGTAACCCGTATGGACTTGTCATCGGCCTCAAGAAAGGAGTCGAAGATCTGTTCTACGAGCCCTTCCAAGTGAGTTTAAAGTTTTTACGCAATTTATACTCTTTAAATGCATACCACAATCTCATAGAACACTGGTGTGAAGTGGAAATGTTATTTTTCTGCGTTTCATTGCCACCTTCACACTCCATGCCGGTATTCTTTGAGGTCGTGGTACTTATCCGGACGGACCTACCGTGTAAATCTGTTACGTGGCCTTAACTTTTTTTTTTTAATTTATTTAATCCAGTAATAAAGTACAATAACATAAATGATTCTCTGCCAAACTGTGATGCAGTTTGTCGGCAGAACTACTGGTAAACAACTAAACTAATGGTTAAACTAATATAGATTTAAGATAACCATTCGTTTTGGTAGCTGTGTGGTGTGTGTCATGTAATGTTCTGAGGTTTTTGAATGGAGACGATATCACTGATTTCTATCACGGATTTTAAAAATTATTTTCGAAATGTTTGCATACCCTACCACATAGTCCCGTATTAGTTTCCTCGGTATTGAACCTTGGATTTCGTAGAATACTCAGAATCAAATATGAAATGTATAGAAAGAAAGAAAGCAACACATTTATTTAGGGTGTAACCACAAAAAATACATAACGTTAAAAATAATGGAATTACACGGAACATAAATATTGCGAAAATTAAAATAAAAGAAAACATGAAGATGAACCTGTAGCGAGTAAGTTATTTGAGGTTACTAGTAAAGAGCATACGTACTGATGGGGCTATAATATGATTGCAGGGCGCCATCCAAGGGCCGGGCGAGTTCGCGGAGGGGCTGCTGCTGGGCGTGCGCTCGCTCGTCGGCCATACGGTGGGCGGCGCGGCGGGCGCCGTGTCGCGTATCACCGGCGCCATGGGCCACGGCCTGGCCGCGCTCTCGCTCGACAAGGTGCGCCCGCGTCGCACACTGTACTTGTTGCGAACCACATGGATGCGCCTAAGCCGTCATCGGAAAAGTTGCAATTGGGGTGGGGACGTACCGTAAACGCAAAGGACAGTCTGAGGGTAGACGAAGAGGTCGAGGCTCGACCAACTGCGGCATCTCATTATAATATCGGAGGGGTTGTGATCTTGCAGCAAAGGCTAATATTTGTCGCAATAAACCGTAAATTGATCAGAATGATCTTTTTAATGATTGGTATTATCAATTCAAAGAGTTTAACCATCCTTTTGGCAAATCAAATGACATTTGAAAAGCCATTTGATAGTTGATTAGTTAACTTCTACGATGAGCGTTTCAGAAACCAGGCGTCATAGAATGATTTTATGCTCAAATCAGAGATACTCGGCTTGGTAGCGACTCCAAAAATTGTTCAATTATGTTAGAGGTTAGTGATTGGGTAGGTTAGGTTACATAGGTTAGATTTTTAAGATTTGGTTATAAACGATTTAGCATTATAAGCTTTTTAGTGCTAATAGAGTTTTTTTGAAGTCTGTTCTTTTTTTTGTTTAAAAGCTTTTTATCTTCGACTGTATGTAACATATTTACACATTATGGCGCAGGATTATCAACGCCGCCGAAGGGATAACATCAACAAGCCACCAGCAAACCTGCAGGAAGGTCTGGCAAGAAGCGGGAAAGGTCTCGTCATGGTATGGCTTATCGATATTTCATTGATCTTTGTAAATTTCAAATATTATTTATTAATAATAATAATAATAATAAAGTTTATTGATAAACTATATACATAATTAATCTTTTATTCTAAGGAAGAAATTGGTTTAATTGTTATTTTATTGTGCAGAACAAAAAAGGCTGCACATGTTATGGTTTGGCGCGCTGCAAAGGTATTTTTATTGGGTTAGATTTGGATTATGGGCCAGACCAACGAATTTGCACAAAGGAAGAATTCCAACTGACATTATTAAGCTCTTAAGGGCTTATGTTTAACCATTATAGGATAACTAACGGTTAAGCGCTGATTGGCGTTTCTTCATCTCATAAACAAAATTTGTTCCTGACATCGCATAATGAGAACGCGTTCGTGACGTGACGCTGGACGCCTTTGGCACGTAGGGCGTGGTGGACGGCGTGACGGGCGTGTTCACGAAGCCGTTCGAGGGCGCGCGCGACCGGGGCGTGGAGGGGTTCTTCCGGGGCCTGGGCATGGGCGCCGTGGGGCTGGTGGCCAGGCCCACCGCTGGGGTCGTGGACTTCGCCTCCGGCTCGCTGGACGCCGTCAAGAGGTGACCCCTCCTAGAGGCTCCTATGGCCGTTCGCTCGTTGATCGGTGATGGGATTGTCGCATGCTTTAGCTCGCTTGCTGCTTCTATTTGTATTCGCACTGTATCACCACGTCTTCTTATCTATTAAAAATTAATGTACTCGTATATTTTATTGTGTATTCAATATCTTTACCTCTCCTCTCCAACCTCTCGGTGATGGGATTGTTGCATGCCTTTGCTCGTTTGCTGCCTCTATTCGTTTATCGCACTGTATCTGTCTTCGTATCTATTAGAATAAAAATGAATGTATCTGTATATTTTATTGTGTATACTATATCTTTACCTCTCCCTTCCAACCTCTCGGTGATGGGATTGTCGCATGCCTTTGCTCGTTTGCTGCCTCTATTCGTTTATCGCACTGTATCATCTGTCTTTTCATTTTGTTGTGTATTCTATATCTTTATTTGTATTTTAGGTATACACTTCTATATACGGTTATCTAAGGTGGTATGTTCGTGTTAATATAATTACTAACTTTTCCTACACATACGTTAAATTAATATACAGGGCGTTACAAAACTACCCGCAAAGCCGAAAAGAAGTTAAATGGGGCTTTATAACGAGACCATTCACAATATTTAAGAACCGTGGTTACGCTGTACCCCAAAAAATAAAAAAGGATTATGACACTGTTATGCAAACCCTATTTCAGTAAAATTAAAGAGTAAACTACGCAGAATGTACTACGTACATTTCTACCTAATTCGATCGAAACAGTTGAAGGATATCGATTAGAATATTTGAAATTGACAACATATTTTTTTTCTAACTTGACATTTTTTGAAGCCAGTTGTGTTGAGGTAGCAAACATTTATGAATGAAAAACAGAAAAACTCTTTAAGTAGACAATTATTAGGTAAAATAGGTACGTAGGCCTTTCTCTGATATGACAGCTTACTAGGGTTGACTAATGTTTTGCCTTTGATAATTAATTATATTTTGCCTTTGATAATTAATTCTATTTTTTATATTTTGTAACACGTTGTATATTACTAGTCGAAGCAAGCTAGAGTCGTAATAAACCCGCGTAGGATCTCTACATACGTCGATTATTTCGTTGCACGAGGTTTGCGTCGCTATTCATTATTACGTGTCTTCATCGCGTAGCGTCACTACGTAAATAGTCTTGTCTTGGCAAAAGTTATAATGCTAGACCATTCCACGATAGCTTTCTAAGGAAATCGAGCGTTATGTCTGCGTAACGTCGTAGCCCTGCTTCATGAGTTAAACGTTTATACTATTCACTTCTATGCGTCTTTGTCGACGCTAAAAAGTAGTGTTGAGTCTGTTCGATTTATGATTTCATTATTCGGTGAAAAAGATTCTTCCGCATAGCGTAGATAGGTCTTGCATACCTCTCACAGCTACGTTAGAGGAGTTGTAATGTTGTCTCAGCATGAGTTATTGAGTCATTAAGCTATGTTCTTGTAAACCTGCTATTTGCCTCTACTGCATAGCGTCACTACTCCGAATGACTTTTATTGCCGAACTCATTTCTACGCGGTTCTGCCGCGTAGCATCGCTACGGTCGTCGTTTCATGTCCCCTAATGAATATTCGCGTTTCTACAGTATAGCGAACCTACGGCCGTAGCCAATTTTCGCCGTATGCATTTTGACGCCGTAACTCAATACTACGAGTTACAACACCGTAGCGAAACTACGGCCGTAGCCCTTTCTCGTTGAATGCATTTCGACGCCGTAACTCACTGCTACGCGATTATACCGAGTAGCCTCACTACGGTCGTCTCGTCCCCGAAATGATGTGAACGCAGCAATCCAGTGCTACGCGTTTCGGCCGCGTAGCGCATTAACGGAAAAGCTAGCCAGCGTAGCTTCCGCTGACGTGAGAAGTGCTCAGGGCGTAGTGGACGGCGTGCGCGGCGTGGTGACGCGGCCCATACAAGGCGCGCACGAGGGCGGCGCCGGCGGCTTCGTGCGGGGGCTGGGCCGCGGCGCCGTGGGGCTGGTGGTGCGCCCAGTGGGCGGCGTCGTAGACTTCACTTCCGGCCTACTCACCTCCGTCAAAAGGTCCCCGCGGCGTAGGCCTCGTTTTGAGACATAGAGTTTCCATTGATCAGTCGACGTAGTATGGTCTACGTAGTGGCTAGATTTGTAAGTCATTTTAAGTCACTTTACGGTTGAAAGGTTAGTTATCTCCGTTTTTTAAACATAGATTTTCCCATTCATATACATGCCGACGCAGTATATTTACATAGTGGGCTGAGTTGGCACTCATTTTAGTTTATTTTAAATGATGAAAGGTGTATGTAGTCATGTATGTCCGTTGTCACATTCGAAAATGGTACTGAGAATTTTTGATAATGGTAAAAAGTCACGTGAGGTATTTTTCCCCGTATTATATTTAAGTAAGCTAAGTATGTGTAGCCATCAGTATATTAGCTTAAATAAATGCTTTTAACTAATATTATCTTATATAGAAATAATGCATGCTTTAGCAAATTTTCAATCAAAGTAACATGATTAATTTTAATCTTCTTTTTTGATAAATTCTTACTTAAACTTTAACAAACGGCTCAATTTATTTTTATGAAATTTTATATGCATATGTGGTAGATCTGAGAATCGGTCGAAATATATTTTTCATACCCCTAAGTGATAAGGGCGGTCCACTCCAAACATTTTTTTCTACCCTAAAAATTCCCCATAAATAATTAATATGGCAAAACAACGTTTATTTTATTGTACAAAACGCTTGTAGGGCTGCTGACCTGTCTGAGGAGGTGACGAAGCGTCGCGCCGCCCGCTACCTGCCCGCGGACGCGGGCGTGAGGCCCTACTCGCGCCTACAGGCCGAGGGCTACAGGCTGCTCTCCGAACTCGAGAAGGTGACAACCCTGCCGTCTATGCGGGATTCGCTCCCAATTAAAGCTCAATACTTTTGAACTTACACTTGAAGTTATACTAATTGGTCGGGTGCTCGCTTTTAATTCAATATGTTCGATCCCCAGTGCTTATCACGTGTTCAGCGCTGAAGGAAAACATCGTGAGGAACCTGCATATTTTCGAAATATTAACAAAAAAATGTTTCGAATATATGTGAAGTCCATATTTGCCCTGCCCCCAGGGTAAGTTCGTGAGCACCGACACGTACGAGGCGCACGTGTGGGTGATCGCTGGTAAGGAGGTGGTGATGTGCACCGACAAGCGGATGCTCTACCTCGAGAGGAACAACGTCTTCGGCGGCTGGCAGGTGAGAACCCTCACAGTCTCGCACACAAAATCTTATACGAACATAACCTTTATTACTTCGACGATAAGAGCCTTAATGCTATGCCATATGATAATTCGCTTTCAGACCTTGGAAATCAATACATTCTCATTGCTATTTAACTCTCATAGCTTGCTTTTCTGCGAGGTGTTGTTACGTGTAATTGTAAGAGTTAAAGTTTCCATTCCATCAACCCTTTATATTAACTGCAAGAGAAAATCGAGATATTTTGTAATTATATTTTAAACGGTCCAATAAGGTGTGTTACCAATAAGTAAATGCGTTGCATAAGTTGAGCAAACTCTTCTCTTCTTTTTATATGCCTTTGCAAAAATTACCCTTTCAAGCAAACATGTTTGTTATGCTTCGCACAGATCGTTTGGACGTACCTCTGGACGGACATTCCGGAGATCCCCACGCCCGTCAACAAGGGCGTCTACATACCGACCGCCAAGAAGAAAGTGCTCGGAATGTTCCCCAGCTCCGGTTCGGGCAAGGTGATATTCCTCTACGACGAGCTGCAGAAGAAATACCTGCTGGCCCAATGCGAGAGGCTGATGCGGGCGTGCCGTTGACATGAGGACGTAGAAAGAATGTCGCCGGCGCAGTGGCTGGCCGAGTTCTTTCTACTTGTGTTCGATTCGCGCACCGCGTTTTCCGCTATCGCTTATCACTTGAACTTGCACCACTTGGCCCCCAGGGGCTTCCGCTGAACTAACGCCTCGGCAGCGAACCTTTGCTATCGAACCGTCTAACCGTGTGTTACACTTTCATAGTATTTCAGTGACGTACAAATGAGCTATGTTTAAATGTATACAAATACAAAAGTAAATTATAGGGCAATTACTATAACCCTTTTTTAATATTGGACGCGTATCCGAACGGAGCTTGTGCTGTGCTGTGACCTATTATTGATAATGAGAATAGGTTTGCAGTTAGTCCTCCACTCTGCTAAAAGTACTCTATCTCTTATACTAAATCTTCTTATATGCATATTGCTTCCGTATTATACTTTCTAATTTTGTTTGTTATATGATATTTGTTACCAGTACCACCAGAACAAGTTACCAGTTGTGATCGCTACCAATACGCATTTATATAAACTTATAATTTATACAAGATTTTGTAAACTTTTTACTGTTAAAACATAGTCTTCCGTTATAAACTTATTTAATATATTTCATTGTATCTTGTTGGTTGCATTAAAAAATTTAGAAGTAGTTGTCGATTCGTTAGAAATTTCACATTTTACGAATATTCAATACTCAAAGAGACATCGTAGTATTAATATGTTTCTTTTTTCTCTATTATTTAAATAGTCGCATATGTTTTATGTGTAACTTCTGTAATTTAGGTACATAGTCCAAATAAATATAATCGTTTAAACATTTTAAAAACAATGTACTTTGAGTTTTTAGATCATCTTTTTCATTTCAGATCTAAAAGTACAATTGCAAAAGATTTAAATTGTATTGTTAATTATTTTTAACAGGAATTGATTTCCGTTCGATTGTTATTTTGAAAAACAGTGCCTTACGTAAGCAAACGCTTAGAACGTGCTTTATTTGTATAGAAAGATTATTTTCGTCGTCGTATATTTAGTAAATGTTTATAAACGGATATTAAATCGTGGGAGATGTTTGAATTCATTTGCTTTCGTATACCGTTTATTTACAAACTTTCAATGTGCCAGTTTCAACTAGATGTAAAGCAACATTGTATTACAGCTTAATGCACGATCTACTTATATGGACCTGATGTTAATTTATTTTGAGCTTCTGTTTTATTGTTTCGAACATATAAAGTATATAAAAAAGATGTTGTTTCATTACACCTTTCAAAATTCATATAAACGGTCGTTCCCGAATCCTGCTTAATTCAAGGTGGCAAGCGAGCTGCCGGTTCACCAGATTTTAAGTGTTAAACCGCTCATAAACATTTGCAACACCTGTAGTTTTGGAGAGGCGTTGCCACCTTTTAATATGAGGTTAGGGAAAAATTAACTATGAACTTATAATATAATCTCTATGGCCACTATTTGTATCCGGCTGGTTTTGGTATCATTAAAAAGCCAAATTCAAATTAGGAAAATGTGTGATTTTAATTTGTTTTTCTTGCTATTAAGATGAGTGATTCTAATGAAGAAATTCGATACATTTTAAAATTTTACTACTAAAAAGGTAAAAATGCAACTCGAGCCCCGAAAAAAGTTGTGATGTTTATGGACCTTGTGCAGTGTCTGTGAGGGTAACACAAATTTGGTTCAAGCGTTTTCAACAAACGTAGTGATTACATTCTCTGGTTTTCAATCCGGAAATTTTGATGTCAAAGATGCACCTCGCTCTGGGCGCCCTGTTACGGATAAAATGGATGCCATTTTTGAAAAAGTGGAGCAAGATCGGTGTATCAGTAGTTACGATGTAGGTGAAGAACTGGGATTTGACCACAAAACGGTTTTGGTGCATTTGAAAAATTTGAAAAGCTGGGTACACAAAAATGCTCGATATTTGGGTGCCTCATGAGCTCACTGAAAGAAACCTGATGAACCGTGTACTCATTTGTGATTCTTTATTTCGACGTAAAGAAACCGAACCATTTTTGAAAAACATGATAACTGGTGATGAAAAGTGGATCACGTACGACAAGAAGAAGACGTGTGAAAAAGGTCGTAGTCAACGGCTGGTCAGGCTTCACAGACTCTGGCAAAACCCGGGTTATCTCGCAACAAGGTAATGCTGTGTGTATGGTGGGATTGGAAGGGCATTATTCATTATGAGCTGTTACCGCCAGGCAGGACCATTGATTCTGAACTCTACTGCGTACTGTTGATTGGTAATCTCAGATTATACATACTTTTGGGTGCACTGCATGTGCGATCACGTCGGGGTCACCAGTTTGGGAGCCGGCAGAAGGGAATAATTAAGATGCAGTACAAAGAACAAGGTGTGTTGAGAAAACCATCATCTTTTTATTGTCATTCGTTGCTATAGTAATTCTAATATAAACGTAGTGATTACATTCTCTTTGTAGTAATTTGTCAATATTAGGGTAATGCTAGACCGATGAGAGTAAGGGTGTACAAGATAAGAGCGGTGCTACACAGAAGCAAATGAGTCGCCACATACTCTTTTGATGTCAACTCTGACCTGTTTGGTTTATGTATTATGTTGGAATTACTTTAAATTAAATTTTGAATGTTAGTTTTATTTGTTCAGACTGAATTGTGTCATATTTGATTGATTCCGTTAAAATCGTTTAGAGAAGTAACATGTCTAGCTATATGCCATAACTCTTGTATTTTACATAAATTTCATAATAATTACGTTTCGTCAAAAATAAGTTCAAAATGTTTAAGTTCAAATAAATAGTTTTCTTATCAGTCCTTAAGTGTCTTTTTGGCTTGAAAGTGATCCCATTAGCCACATCTACCATTCAAGACGTACAACTGATGAGATTAAAGCAAAAACAGGCACCTACATACTTAGGTAAATGTAAATAAACTTTATTAAAAATGTTTTGAATTTTCACATAAAATGCGAAGAAACTTTTTCCCTAGCCTATTAAAATTGAGCCCCGGCTACACTGCAGACGAGACGGAGAAGTAAAAGTATTGACTCTTCCACTTCACGCAGGTTCTATCAGGTCCTGGTATTTCTCCAGACGGACCTGCCCATTCTTGTGCGCGTAACTACCACAGATTTTAAGAAAAATGTCATTAAATTATGATGATATGGGTGATATCATCAAAATTGTAGCCCCCTACAGACTGCCATGAAGCACGATCCTGAGCCACCTTCATCCATTGACTACCGTACCAGGAAGCCCTCGGCGAGCTATGGAGCGGATTATGTTCGGTATTTCTTCGCGTGATAGAGTTCGCAAGATAGATAATACCCACATACAACTCAAAGCTCCTTCGACTTTTTTTTGTGACAAAGTCGCAAACGAGCTGGCGGTTCACCTGTTTTAAGTAATAACCGCCGCCCATGGACATTTGCAACACCCTGTGGGTTTCAGAAGCGTTGCCACTTTTAAATAAAGTGGGCCCCGGCTAAATCACTCACCAGACAAAACGCAGAAGTGTAACACTTCCACTTTACGTCGGTCTTCTGTGAGGTCGTGGTACTTACCCGGCGGACCTGTCCATTCGTGCCTGAGTGAACACCATTGCGTGGCCCAACCTTAGTACGAAACGCAGAAGACTTCCAAATCTACATAATACAGAGATATGTCATCTATTCGAGGATCATATTTTGTATATTTGGTACGACGCAAAGGCGCTGAGGATGAGTTTTAATTATGACGATTTTATGCAATACATTAGTTATTAGAAGAAAAAAAATTATTAATATTAAATTAAAATGTACAATGCTTGGCGCTACAATATAGGGGGCGGCCTTTACAGCATACAACATCTTACAAAGAACATTTTGTAACGAGTGATGTTTGCTCTTAAAATTTTAGGATTAATGTATATTTTTGAGCGTGGCGCCTGGAGCTTTCTTGTTTTAAATATGACATATACCGGAAATAATACCTGGAAAAGAAAATGTTGCAGCGGATGCACTATCTCGAATGTGTGCATATGTTCATACATAATCTAAATTATTTTCTTTACAAGAATCACTTTGCCATCCTGCAGTCACTCACATCGAATGTTTCACTGGGTGCAATATAAAAACGTACTTACGATACAGAATTGATGATGTGACAAATAACTTGAGGCTTTAAAATCTGTGCAGAAATAAAATCTTAATTTTGTAAGAGCTGTGGAATATTATTAAAAGCTACAAGTGTATTTGAAAGATTGAACATAGATTTTAAAGGACCTTTCAAATGTTACTTTATTTTATTTAATCCTTGTAAAAGAAAAAAATTATCATATTGGTTGTCTAAGAATGTGTAATATATTTTCGAAAGGCTTTACATTGAATTATTGCAAAAAAATTATGACGTCTTTTCACAACCTTTAATTTGTTAAATGATGCGATTGATCACATATGAAGTGCCATAACATAAAGGTAATCCCGAATCTCTACATGATGCATTGGTTACATAGATACTCTCTATGGGCCCCGGTTAATACTACTTTTAATTTTAATGACATGATTCCAAACGGGGAAATTGTTTTTTGGAACGAAGTTCCTTACGGCAGGCTTGGAGGGGATAGGGATTTTGCTGCGCGACCGAACTGAAAAAAATGTGATAGTAAAACCGTAAGAAAAAATCCGTGGAAAAAAGTGCGTGGAATAAAACCGTTAAATGAGACGTGCGCAGGCGCGACAGTCGCATACACAAGCGAGTAGTGTATACTTTTGTTATTTTAGTTGATAATTTGAATTACGATGTTTTTTTATTTTAAGTAATTTATGCATTAATGCATTAATATTGTGTTACGTTAAAATGAAAGCTGTGCCAGTTCTTATATCTTTGGAGAAGACATATTTTTTTTCCTATGAAGAAAATTTTCCGAACCCATGGTAGAACTAAATAAATGTGATGTTTAATAAGCGTTATGATAAGTACATGTTGAATAAAGCATTCTATTTACAAACACTGCTCCACTAAAAGG